ACTTGACTCTGCTCTCTGTTTATCAAGAACTGGAGCTCAGCCTGCATGACAGGCACCATGCCCACTGCTGGGAGGCAGCAATCAGCGAGGCTTCGCCCCCAAAGATGCAAACTGGTATTGGATGCCATTATAGATTGAAACAGATGCTGCAGAGGAAAGTAACGGGGCAGTGGAAAGTGACCTGGTGACTGTCTCGCAGGAGGCCTAAAACAAGAGGAAAGGCCAGCCAAAAGGGGCTGAAGCTGGGAGAATATTCCAGGCAGAGGTTCATCCATGGAATACAAATGGGACAAGCGGCCAGGGGCAGGTGGTTCATGCCTGTAATCTTAGCTACTCAGGAGGCTGAGATCTAAGGACCACGGTTCAGAGCCAGCCTAGGCAGGAAAGTCCGTGAGACTCTTATCTCCAATAAACCACTAGAAAACTGAAAGTAGTGCTGTGGCTCAAGTGGTAGAGAGCTAGCCTTGAGCTGAAGAGCTCAGGGACAGCTCCCAGGTCCAGAGTTCAAGCCCATGACCAATCAAAAAGAAAAAAGAAAAAAAAAGAAATGGAAGGAGCTTAATCTCCTTTAGACAGTAGCAGGTGGCTAGGGTGAGCAATGGGACAGAAGCAGGAGAAGAGGTCCAGAAGTAGGGAAGGTGGGGTTATGCGGGGCAAACCGTGAAAGACCCTAATGTTATACTTCATTCATTCAACATCTGGTGCTCAGCCAGGACTTCCTTCAATAGTCTTCTGGCATTCAGCATGGACCTTTGTGCAGAGTGAACTTTCAGCAAATACTGAACGGTTGCAATGACTCAGAGATTCCAGGCATGTGCTGACACTTCCAGAACCTTCCAACCTATCAATCACCCAAGCCTGACTTCAGCACCAGCTGAGGTTCCTAAAGGTCTCTCCTCAACCCCATGTTTGACCCTGTCCAGCCCTGACTCAGGCCTCTCCCAGACAGTGAAGAGTCCAGTGGGCAAGAATGACTTCACCGAACACATCTTGTCACTAACTCACTTCTGTATCACATTGAACATTCGAGAGCTGGATTAGCCAGTGTGCTATGAGTGAATCGGTTTAGCTTCTGAACCTCAAGTTCCTCTCCTATAAAATAGGTCTAATCACAGGGCTTTCTTAGGGTTTCTGTGAGAATTAAAGGTGAGGATATGTGAAAAGCCCTTACCACAGTGCCAAGCACTTGGCTAGAGCTTAGCGGGTTCTTAGCTACTATTGGCTACTGTCATAGTATATCAGCATCATTATTATCAACCATGGCCCCGAGAATGTGCAAAATTTACGTTTCCTCCTGCTCCTTTCTATTTGGAGACACCCTAAGTTCACACTGAGCACCACTTTCGGTGTGAGGGGTTCCCGACCGTCTCACAGTGGCAGCGTCCTCCTCTCTGACACAGCAGAAGCTCATGCGCTTCTCTCCATGCCACTGGATACCTCCCACATGGGAGCCATGTTGAAGTCTGTCCTCCTGTCCAGCTGTGAAGTCCTTGAGAAGGACACGTGGGCACCATTGATTAATAATCATCAGTCTCCCTTTGAATTATTGTATCTCTGAATTGGGCATGCATCTTAATGTTGAAGTTTGCTGACCATGTTTTCTTTCTTTTTTCTCTCTTCTTTCTTTCTTTCTTTCTTTTTCCTTCCTTTCTTTCTTTTTTTTTTTTTTTTTGCTGGCTTCGAACCAGGATCCTCAGATCTCAGCCTCCTGAGTAGCTAAGAATACAGGTGTAAGCCACTGGCACCTGACTTCATGATCTTTTCTATTTTTATTGTTATTATAAAGGTGATGTACAGAGGGATTACAGTTATGAGTACATTTCTTTTTGGACAGTATCACCCCTCCACTCTTTTTCTCCCAGTTTTTCCTTTCCATTCATCCTCAAAACTTGCATAGTTCGTTTTCCAGATAGTGTCTAGTGAGCATCACTGCTATATTTGTTCATAATTTGTCCAACCATTTCTGTGCTCCCCACTTCCCCTCCCCAAAACAGATAAACTTACAAACAAGACAAAAGGCACAGAAAACAAAAACAACAATGAAGTTTAAAAAAATACCTCTTGCTCAGTAGCTATGTGCACATGATCATATAAAATGATATTTATCAAAATGAACTCCAAGAAATGGAAAAAAGAGGGATTTTTTCCCTCCATAATCTTTCTTATGGTCACATCTCTTATCATAAGGAGAGCCTTAGATTAAATGAAATACTAAAGCTTTAGGCATAGGTTTTCAAGTACCACTACTGGAGTCAGTCTGTACTTGGCTATCTAGCTAACCTTCCTGTGTAGCACTTGCTCATCTGAACAACAGACAAATCAATTTTCTCTACATCTTCACAGTCTTAAGAATTCATTGACTTAACATATTAGAAGGCATTTAGAATAGGGCCTGGCATATGGTAACTGATACACACTTATTATTTATTGTTATTTGTGTACTCAGTGGCCAGCTTGTTATCTGGCTTTAATAAGGCTCAACAAATGACAAATAAATTGAAAAGCGGGAAGTAAACTATGATCTAATATCCAGAGAGCACATGGTCAGTTCTTCCCTGAAGAGAACCACACTTGGGGAGCTGGCTGGTGACTACCGTGGCTATACCCTCACACTGGAATCTGTACTGGATCACTGGGTCAAAGCCAGAGTTGTAACAGCCCACCCCTAACAGTCTAACTGGGCTTGAGGTTTCTCATTAGCCCAACTCTTGACTTTCTCAGAACTACATGATGGCCTGAGACTCTTACAAATCTTTGTTCCTCATCATGAGATGGTCTGAGGCTTTACCACTTACTCCTATTCTCTCCTGTTTATCCTTCACAGACCTTCTCCACCATAATCTCTTGCCTGTGTCTATCTATCTTCTATCATGGCTTCTGCTTCATGAAGGGCCATCTAACTTGGCAAGGCTTGTTGACCAGGTTGGTGCCTACTTGGATCCAAGGAACATTTTTCCAGTTTCTTGCCTTTACAAAGGTGGTCCTGCTAAAGAAGCTGAGCTGAAAGGATGTCCAAACATCTAGGAAGAACTTAAGCCCTGAAGAAGCTCTTTCAGAGTGTCAAGGTTCAACAAGAACTGTGTCAGGCCTTCAATAGTATCCATACGGTTTACAGGGAAATCCTGCGCTCTCCTTCTGTAGGTCCCAGGAAAACTGTCTGCAATCTCAATGTAGAAGACAGAACCTCAACCAAGGCCTTTCCTTCATACCCTGCAGCTGACCTGGCCACTGAGAGACCTTTTCCCTGGTTCTTTCTGTCTCTTGTGAACCAAGGCTATGGTGGACTTGGGTTGTTCCTGAGCAAAGCCCTAGGAAATTCTGCCTTTCGGATCTGTTCTTGACCAGGAGCCAAAGAGGCCCAGTTTTGTCTCCCACCAAAAATATATTCTGTTTCTTTTCAGTCTTGTGCTTAATTCAAAAGAGTAACTGAAAAATGCAGGGTAAACACATGGGCTATTTTTATTCCCATGTCCCCGGTGCTTACTCTTCTCTTCTTCCAAATGTAGCCTTCCGCTCCCGGACTCACACATCAACCAACTGCTGCAATGGAAAAAATGAAAATGCTTTCTCTCGGTCCGATGAGCACTGACTTCAGCAGCCCACCCCCTCTTCCTTTGACCTTCTGTCCTTTGCCTTACTGTCCTCTCTGCGGGGCTCTTCAGGGGTGACAAACATATGGGAAAGGCAGGTTTGGTTTCAGCCCAAAGAAATTAGTGATCGTTTGAAGATAGTACATGGAGGCCTCAAGTATGACTTAGGCATTAGATGTCAAAATCACTATACCAATTCTGAGACAGCCCTTTACTCCAAATTCCAAACAACCCATCTTCTCAAGGGGACATCCTCTATAAGAGCCCAGATGGCTTACAAATGACTAACACACAGCAGATGCTCAGGAAATCATTCTGAAATGGTTAACAAAGCTTGGAGCATGTGGCTGTGTAAAAATATAAACACAGAAAAATCAATAAAATGGAAATTATAACCCGCCTTTCTGTTTTTACATTGTCAGTGATTGTGATGGTGAATGCTGACTATGAACTCGACTGGCTTGAGAAATACCTAGGAAATGAGTCAAACACATCTCTGGATGTCTGTGATGGTCTTTCCAGAGATTAAATCTGATGGATTCAAAATCTGGATAGACTTTTAGGAAGTGGTAGGACAAAGAAGGTGGGAGCCTGGTTGGAGGAAGTTTGTCATTGGAGAGGTGTCCTTGGGGGCTGTGTCTTCTCATGGGCTTCTTCCTGTTACTCTTCCATTTTCCTTCCTGTCAGCTGTAATGTAAGCTGCCCTTGTACACCTTTCCTCCCCACCACCCCCCCATCCTCACCCCTGCCGTCACGGATTGAAACCTCTGAAATATCAAGCTAAAATAAATCCGTCTTCTTCTCTAAAATTGTTCTCCCAGGTGGTTGGTTGCTGCAGCGAAAAGGTCTGAATAACCCAGTGGTATTTACTGAAATAGCCATCTCTGTAAGCATATGACAAGATCACTCTGAGAGCTGAGAACATGAACAGAGCCTTGCCACTTGTTCCTACAAGGGAAGGCTGCTCACCTGAGGACACAACCAGCTGCTTCACCCTGGTTTCACGGTGAGGTTTGTGCAGGTTCCAATGTACAGGCACAGGAACCCAGGCTGCTGTTAGTTGAAAGCTCTCTTGGGCTAAAGGAATAATTTTCAGTGCCACTGTGTTTTAGTTTGGCATTGTTTTTTTAAATATGAAATGATCCTGGAGAGACCCTTATCCCTTATGGGGCTTCAATGAACACTGTGTGAAAAGACAAAGACATTTGGGGCACAGTGTAATAAGACACAATACTGTGGTCTTAAAAACAGACATTAGGAGTTAGTGGTTTTTCTTTACTGAAGATCTTCTTCCTGGGTGGGTGGTTGTATAACAGGGCAGGTAGGAAACTCTAAAGAGTAGAGAACCATTGTTTTCTGGTCCTTTTCCTTTAACAAATGAAAAGAAACAGCAAAGAGATCAGGGAAATATAAACAATGACATTTTTTATTCTTGGTTTTGGTCACCATTTTTATGCTTCTTTCTTTTCCTCATGCATTAAATATATAACAACCAAGGCTTTATTAATATACACATAAAGGTAACATGCGCAGCATGTAAGCATGGTAGGTAATAAGTGGACCAAGCAGCTGCAGGTCTACGCTTAGGCCTCTGAAGTTGGCCTTCAGGAACACAGCAACTGTGTTGGAGGTATGCAGGGCTTTGCATCGTCCCCAAGTTGGAGCCCCTCCATGGAAGAGCCACCTCAGCCACACTGGGATAAAAGTGATTAACAGCAACCTAGAACAGCTTCTGCCCATCCTAAGGGACCAGGTTGCTTGAGTATTGTTTTTCTGAGAGCTCACTTTGTTCTTTAGCCTGACAAATGGTCTGGATTCAGTGAGCTATGGACTGAGGGGCCATAAGATGGAATGAGAAAAATCATAAACAGCATCCAGAAAGTTCTGTGGGAGACAACTGTTGCATCTCTGTAATGAAGCAGACATGTACAGAATAGTTAATCAGCTCATTTGTTTCCCCAAAGAGGGAAAATACATATTTTTGGTTTGGGTTAAATAGCTAAAACTTTGGCAAAGGGGAAAACAATGTCATGGGAAAATACAAAATATCTCTAATGTCTACAGCACATAAAATATCTAAGAGTGATAAAATATTAAAGGGCAAGAGGGAGTCGCTGTAAAAAATTACAGAACACATGTTGGATGGGAAGTAGAATTATGAAATGAAGCAGCTGGTCGCTGAAGTAGCACTTGATGGATGAACTCTACCATTTCTCTTCAAAGTCAGCGTCTCAGAGGGGTGGCTTCAGGTGACTGGGTGTTTTCAACATTACATTTGCTTTTATCATTCCTTATACGGATAAACACAACTGCTAAAATTATACCTACGAGAGAAAACCCAGGGTCAAAGAGATGGAATCTTCAAATGGACTGTCACGGTCACTTATAAACTAATGTCCTGGGAGGAAAAAATGACTCATGTTGCTTCATTTTTTGTTTGTGGCTCAGCGAAGTTGTTCAAGTGAAGGAGGGACCCTCGGCGCTGGCTGACTTGGATAAGTAAGCTTATCACTTAGTATCAGTATGGCATGGAGTCCCAATGGTTTCCAACCTGGGGGTTGCCACCAAGATTATCTCAAGGCAAACAGGATGTGTTCTGCATTCCAAGAAGAAAGCAGCTGAGTTTCTGGACTTCATACACACACAGTCTCAGTTGACCTTCCCCAGAGCCAGCAGTCCAACCAGAACAGCCAGAGACCTCTTAGGATCTGTTCACCTAAAGCCTACTTTCATTGTGTCCACATCTAAGGAACTTTGAATAGACTGCTTAAGATTTTGACTGTTTCTTGCCTCTTAACTCCTACAAAAAAATATATTATGTATCTTAGGATTGATTGTGCTACCCTCTATGGAAAAGGGATTTCGTTATTTAAAAGAAATTACCTATTAGCAAATATATAGGAAGAATCTTGGCGTAAGTAACAGGCTTTACCAAACCACCAGTGAAAAAAATATATAAAGGAAAGTCATGCAACATTTCAGGTATATCAACAACTCCACTGGAAGGTCAAGTTCTATCCATCCCAACCCTGGCAGCTGAGACCATGACCTCTGTGACCTTGACCTCTATGGATGAAAGATCTTTGCTGATCTCACCCATCACTGTCTGCACTCTGAAGCCCCATGTCAGATGTATAGCAGGGTCATAGCAACTGCATTTCATTCTCCCTCATCATGTTAGCTTGGCATTGAGGCTTAAAATATAACAGTTAGGATCAACATGCATTGTATTCATAAACTGTATTCATGCACATTGTATTCATGCAAAGTATTCATAAACTGCTTTGTTTAATGGCAACTCTTTTGTGCACTACTTAAAAATAATATTTTTGAAGGGAAAAGGTAGATAATAAACCTAAAATACTTATAACACACAGCAATGGATTAAAGTCATATATATATATATATATCAGTTAGTGGTGCTGTGGTTCAAGTGGTAGAGCACTCGCCTTGAGCTGAAGAGCTGAGAGACAGTGCCCAGGCCCAGAGTTTAAGCCCCACAACCAACAACAACAACAAAAAAAGAGAGACATTCCCATTTTGAGTTGGGAAGGTGGTTCAGTGGTAGAGTGTTTGCCTTGCATGCATGAGGACCTGGGTTCAATTCCTCAGCACCACATTAACAGAGAAAACTGGGAGTGATGCTGTAGCTCAAATGGTGAGCTGAAGAGCTGAGGGACAGTGCCCAGGCCCAGAGTTCAGGCCCCATGATCAACAAAAAATAAGTAAAGACATATATATATATTGGATCTGAGTGTCTCCCAAAAGGCCATGTGCTTGGTCTCCAGGTTGGTGTTGTGTGGAAGAGGTAGAAAGTTTAAGACCTAGTTGGCCCGCTTCTGATCTTTGAGGGAATACCCTTAAAGGCTCATGTGTTCCTAGCCCCAAAGTGAGCACCTTTGCTCTGCCACATGCTGCCTGCCATGCGGTGCTGCCTCTCCACAGGCCCAAAGCAACAGGCCAATCAGTCATGGATGGAGACCTCTGAAACCACGATGCATTATGCCAAAAACTTCTCTGTATACCTTGATTATGTCAGGTATTTGTTACCATTAAGAAAACCTGATTAACACAAAGCCTCTTTGGAATAGAACCTGTTCTGCCAATCGAGAAACCACGATAGGTAAAAGGTAGTTCCAAAGTAATGTTTTCCAAGAAAGTATGAGGGGGTTGACTGGTGATCTATGTCTTCGGTTAATGTCTAAGTTGCCATTTGGGTAGCTACTAGATCAACCCCTAAGATGAGCTAATATTTCTGAGGCCAAGGCCAGAAGTCCTTGAATCTGGGAAACCATACTCACCTATGATCAGAAAAGTGGTCAGCAGTATACCAACCGCCATGCCCACGGTGGGTATCCCAGCCTGCTCACCCACTGGCCGGAAGCAGCTTCCTTCCACACACTTGCAGAAAGTCACTGAAAAGCAGAAACATACTTGGTAGGATACATATTCAGGTGAACAGCTAGAGAAGAGAATCCCACATCAAAGCTGAGAAGCTCCTTAAACTTCCCATGGTGACAGCGCCTATTCAAGTAGCAAAGTACCTACCTGATAAAGAGACAGTCCCCTCCAAGGGGGGCCGACCCCCGTCATTGATGCGGATGGGGATCTCATAAACTTTCTCCTCAAAATTTGTGTGCTTAGTAGAAAGTCTGGCGCTAGTACCTGTCAGAATGAGGAAAAATGAAAACAGAACTCAGACTCCTGGCTTCACAGGAATAAAATTCACCTCTTCATTGTGTACTAGAGTTGACTGGGAAGTGGTTGGACAGGAGTTAAGTTTATCAATGTATTATTACTTACAACCTCCCACATGTATCTTTGAAGAAGGAGAAAGAGAAGGAGGAGAAGGAGAAGGAGAGGGAGGAGGAGGAGGAGGAGAAAAAGGAGACAGAGGAAGAGGAGGAGGAGGAATAGGAACTACAGCATCTTTTAAGTGCTCAACTCATGATTTCTTGGTAGAAAGGAATATTAAATACAATCAGTTCTTGTTATTTCTAGTAGTTGTGGTCTATGAATTACCCTCAAACACTGAATTAGTGAATACTGAACATTTAGTCATTAGGGAAATAGAGGGCTAGGTTCTTATAAGCCTTCATCACCACATTTTAATGAATACATATGCTTTTTCCTGTCTGTTTCTCTTTAAAGGCATTTTATTTAAACATATGAATGTTTACTCTTTAACATGGACCTTTAACACTGGACCACAGCACTTGACTCCTGCCTTCCCAAGGCTCAGCTAAGTAGTTCTGTAGACTCACCAGCTTCTTGCACTTAGGAACACTAAACTGCCCTTTTCTCCTATTTGAAGCCAACAACAAAATCAAGTCAGGCACTGGTGGCTCCCACCTGTAATCTTAGCTACTCAGGATGCCGAAACATGGAGGATCATGGTGCAAAGCCAGCAAAGACAGAAAAACCTGAGAGACTTTTAACAAGCAAAAAGCCAGGCATGTATCAGATGGGAGTACACCATCCCTGAGAAAGCAAGAAGAACTAGAATGTGTGGCCTTGAAACAAGAATATCACCTTGTTTGACTTTGGTTAGGAATATGTACATTGAGTAATTCAAACGTCCACCATTCTGTGAGTGTCCATACACACAAAAATTCATTAAGTATTGGTCTGGAGGATGTAAATTGTAAGCAGTAAATGAATTTATCAACAAATAATCGTGGAATAGTGCATCTATTGGCCTGATCCTGAGTTTCAAATTTGCCTTTTGTGAGCTATGTATATAATATGGTAAGTCCTGTCACCTGTAGCTTCAAGAGTTTCTTTGAGCCCTGAACTAGGGAATGTGTGGTACCCACCTGATTTTCAGGTTATTTCTTTTGTTTTATGCTTTGCAAAAAATTAAGAGCTCAAAATAACACTGTCTCAAATCTCCAAAGACAGTTTTGCTCTTCTCCTATTCTCTCAAAATCATATTTATGACTAGAATTTTTTAAAGTTTGTGGTAAGATTTTCAGACTTTGAAAACTATTATAGCTTAAACTTGCATTCCTAGAAAAGACAGATTAATAGGGACCAGATTCATCATCCCACCAAGAACAATAAAAAAGAACAGATGTAGGAAATTAAGGTTTTAAAAGCATTGGAGCCAGGCACTAGTGGCTCACACATATAATCCTAGCTACTCAGGATGCTGAGCTCTGAGGATCAAAGTTCAAAGCCAGCCCTGACAGACAAATCCAAGAGACTCTTATCTCTAATTGACCACCAAAAATCTGGGAATGGAGCTATGGTGCCATTGGTAGAGCACTAGCCTGGAGTTAACAAAAAGCTCAGCGATAGTGACCAAGCCCTGATTTCATGCACAAGTACTGGCACAAACAAACACAAACATTGGATATTAGACAGTGAGGGACAATGGCCCCTGTAAAAAGAAAAATGATGTAAGTTTTATAATTGTCCCTAGCAAGGGAGACTATCCAGGTCTCAGAGCAAGACAGGGAGCCCAGGGAGCATGGGCTACCTTCACTGCTGTAATCAGAGAGGTCAAGGTTACAAGCAGACTGAGGAAGAGAGGGAGAAAAACACAACACCACACACACACACACACACACACTCGCTGAAGACCTCCACAGACCCTCAGCTGAGTTCATGTCAGATACATACATGAGGGGACAATGTCCCCAAGATCAATGATATTGATCTCAGAATTTACAAAGGGGCACCATAGAAACTTCATCGTTTGTGGGGGTAGATAGACTCAAAGAATTTTGTCTCAGCAGTTGGGAGAAATGAGTCTTAGAATAAATGCTACCCTGGGCCTGCCTAATGAAGCTTAAAAACAATATGTGAAAACAACAAAGTATTTCCAAGTAAGATAACCGCACTTCAGAGGAAAATTCAATAATATTTATGAGAATACAAAAATATTCAGCATCTAAGTGTTTGACTTTTACAATTTGCCAGGCAAGCAAGAAAAGAGAAAAATAATGAAGAGGAAAACAAATAGATTGAAATATATCCAAAAATGACATATAAGACATAAATAGTGGACTAGGCTAAGAAAATAGTTATTATAGTCATGTTCTCGGTGCTCATGAAGGAAGAAGATTGAGAAGATTAAATACAGATGAGGAAAATGAGAAAAAGACCCAAGTTAACTTATAAAGATCGAAAAGCTTGATATGAAAAATACACCAGGTGGATTGAAGAAGTCAGGCTATCATTCATAGGCAATATAATTTCTGCATAGAAAAATCTATGGAATTTAGGGCTGGGATCATTGCTCAGTGGTAGAAAGAAAGAAGAAACTCTCTGGACTCTAAATAGTATAACAGTAAGATGAGCAAGGTTGAATTTTTGGATATAGGATCAATATCCCAAATCATCAATTATATTATTATAGCATAGAGCTATTTCAAAATGTAAGTATCAATCTTAAATATTATTTAAAAGAGCATCAAAAATAAGAAAATAGAATGCTAAAAGGGGTGGCATTGATCAAGATGCATTTTATGCATAAACTGCTCTGTTAAATGGCAAGCCTTTTGAACAACTACTTAAAGATAATTTAAAAAATAGAACATCAATAAATAAAAAGAAATAACACGGCTGGGAATGTGGCTTAGTGGTAGAGTGCTTGCCGAGCATGCATGAAGCCCTGGGCTCGGTTCCTCAGTACCACATAAGCAGAAAAAGCAGAAGTGGCAATGTGGCTCAAGTGGTAGAGTGCTGGCCTTGAGAAAAAGAAGCTCAGGAACAGTTTCCAGGATTGGGAAAGAAAAAAAGAGAAAAAGAGAGAGAGAGAGAGAGAAAGAAAGAGAGAGAAAGAAGGAAGGAAGGAAGGCAAGCAAGCGAGTGAAAGAAAACAAGCGAGTGAAAGAAAGGAAGAAGGAAAGAAAGACAGAAAGAAAGAGAGAACAAATTTGGAAAAAATCACACCACCTAAAACCAAATCTTACCATAGAGCTATAGTAATCAAGACAGTGTAGTGTTAGAATGAAGACAAAGACCAATGAAGCAGAAAGTTCAGAAGTACATCCCTATATACATTTTCACCTGGTTTTCACTAATGTTGCCAAGACAATTTGAAATGAAAGGAATGAAGGAGGGGGTGGGTTGGGAGGGGTGGGTGAGAATGCCGAAAGGAGCAACATTAATCAAGACTCAATGTATTCAAAAACTGCTTTGTTGAATGGCAACTCCTTTGTACAACTACTTTAATAATAATAATAACCTAAAACAAAACAAAAATAGAAACTCTTCAGACAGCACAGAAAAACCTACATAATTTTAGTACATGTAGACAGCCACCTATGCTACACAGGATGCTATATGTTAACCATCTTTCCTTCCTCCAAAGCCTAAAGTTTTGTCCCCGTGGCAGACGTTGTGAGTTTCTGAAGATGGACTTCCTGGAACGTGTGCGAAAGCTGTGGTTGAGTTCTAAAAGCCCACAAAGACCATAAAACCTGAAGCGCCACCCATCATTGTTTGCAGGGTGCATCTGACAACTCACCATTGATTTTGGAAACTTCCCAGTCCCTTTGTGAGCTTTCGCTGCCCAGGCCAAATGTAAACTGGGGGCCCCGAAATGCCTGCTGATCATCATCAGTGGCCTCAAAAATGAGACTTCCTGGGGCAGAGACGGGATGGCAGAAGAACAAGCCGGTGTAGTCCCTGGCTAGGCGCGGCGGGTTGTCGTTCACGTCGGCAAGCATCAGGTGGAAATGGGATGTGGAGCTCAAGGAAGACCCACCTACAGCAAGGAGTGATCAAACAAGGAGTCAGCGTGTTCACTGTCCATAACAACAAGGAGCATTTCTTGTTACGAAAATATTCAGGCAGTCAAGCCTACGGAGCCAGTGGAAAAAAGAGACCCTTTGTGTCAGAGATCTGGTTTTATTGCTGAGTAACAAAGTCTCAAGGGGAGCTGGACCCTAGTGGCTCACTCCTCTAATCCTAGCTACTCAGGAGGCTGAGATTGAGGATCATGGTTGAAGCCAGCCCGGGCAGAAAAGTTCATGAGACTCTTATTTCCAATAAACTACTTAGAAAAAGCCAGAAGTGCCACTATGACTCAAAGGTGGCACTGGGGCTCACTTTGTGCTTAAGCGGGGGCAGAGCCCAGGCCCTGAGTTCAAGCCCCTCCTGGCCAAAAAATAAAAGGTCTAAAGTGATAGTCATATTAACAAAGATGTAGGGAATAATTGTTTACATATATTACACCAAAACAACTCTGATGTAATATGTACAGATGAGAAGACTAAAGCTCAGAAAAGTTGTGTGACCTACCCAAACTCACACAGCTAGAGAGCAATAGCTTCAATTTAGGGGTTCTAGCTGTCACTCACATCTTCCATCGCTCCCTAGCACTGCCTTACCTATAAGAATCTAGTTTTCTAAGCCTCACTTCTTTGCTGAGAAACATGTGACTTTGTAACTATTCCACTTAAAAACAAAATGACCTAAGAAATTGTAAACAGCTGCACAAGCGTTGTCATACTATAGTGGAAAAAAGCTTTGTCCTCTTGCTGCAGAACACATTGATAGCTTCATGATCTTGGGCAAGTTACTCCACTTCTCAGTGCACAAGATTTGGCCAGTAACAGAACCGACCTCATAGTGTGGGGTGAGGAGTAAGTTATTGTGCGAGGTGCGTAGCACAGGGCTGTCAGGTTGGCGTAAACATGGACTGCTTTCTCTCTGACATCCAACATGGACTCTTGTTTCGACAGTGTCTGACTCCACTCCAGTTCCAGTAAATCCTGCTTCCTGGCTCCTACTTTGATTCCAGTAAGCTCTGTTTTCGTCTCAATTGTTTTCTATATTCCTAAACACTCTTAAACCAGTGGTGGGGGAAAAAAATTTGTACTCATGTCCTTCAAGTCATTGTGTCTATTTACATTATTATTTCAGTGCCAACAACCAGAAGCCATGCAGCATTTTGGACCTTGGTCTTGATCCATACAACTTCCTTTAGCATACACCCAGAGTGAAGTGTTGATCCCCAGGAGATGATGAAGGGCATTGGGCAGCACAAAGACCCAGCCAGAAACTTTCTACTGATTAGCTGGAAGATTTAAATCAAGAGTTAAATGTACACAACGTGGGAGTGGAATGTGCTAAGTTAAGGCAAGTGTCAGCCAGCTCCTCTGTCCAGCGGGTCCGCTGTGCTGCATTCCTGTCCTCTTTGGATCTCTTCATCTTGCACATACAAGGACCATTTTTATGATTCCTTTTTCTCTGTTCCCCATCCCAGCCTCCAATTTGGGACTTTGCATGCCAACGAAATTTTTTTAAAGTCTAAAATTATTTATTTAGTAGTAATTTGTTCCATCCTCATCTGTTTTTTTTACAAAAAACCAAGAAGATGTATTTACTAAACATAGAGCCTCCACTGGGCTTTAAGAATCACAGAATTCCTACAGCAAATTGGAAAATTCCATTTAGATGCAAGAGACTCAATGTTTTAATTATCAGTCTTATCCCTAGTTAGCTCGCTATTCCTGTGAGTTTATTTTCATGTTAATTTGGAAAAATTCCCTAGAGTTCCATGTTAAGAGTCATGAGATGCAAAGATTATACAGGGATGGCTCAGATTTCTAGTTCTTTTTTTTTGTGAAAATACTGTACAGAGGGGTTACAATTACATGGGCAAGATAATGAGTACATTTCTTTTTTTTTAGTTTTTTAAAGTTATTTTACTGTACAGAAAAAAGGAAAAGCCACTTTTTGAGAGGTTGAATCTTTTGAAGTCTTTTTTTTAATTTTTTTTATTGTGAGAATACCGTACAGAGGAGGTACAATTACATGGGCAAGATAATGAGTACTGTCTTATCAAGCATTGTTGCCTCCTCATTGTTTTCCCTTCCCATCCCTTCCCATACTCCTCCCCTCCCCCAACCTGATCCTCCCCCACCCCACACCAAAGTTGTTAAGTTCGTTTTTCCACATAATAACTTGTACATCTCATTGTTGCAATGGGTCCACCTGTATCTCTAGTTTAACGATTTGTTTTTTTCCCTTCCCCTCCACAAATTATACCAACATCAAAAACAGTGAAAGTATGGGTTATACTGTGGGGAAGGGACATACAAAGCAACATAGAAATCATCTTATAAATATGATAGAAACAATTGCATGAAAAGAAAAAAAAACAAAAAAATTTGAATACTTATCTTGGGGTTCATTCCCCTAACATCACCTTATCTGACCTTTTCTGCTTGACTCAGACATATACTAGATATTACAAATAAGGGAAACCATGGGACCTATGTTTCTTTGGGCCTGGCTTACTTCACTTAATATAATTTTTTCCAAGTCTTTCCATTTCCTAACAAATGGAGCAATGTCATTCTTTCTGATGGAGGCATAGAATTCCATTGTGTATATATACCACATTTTCTTGATCATTCATCTACTGAGGGGCATCTGGGTTGGTTCCATATCTTAGCTATGGTAAATAATGCTGCAATAAATATAGTTGTGCTGGTAGCTTTAGTGTGGTCTTGTTTGTGATCATTTGGGTAAATGCCCAAAAGTATGATTGCCGGGTGATAGGGGAGCTCTATAAAAGACCCCGAATAGCAAAAACGATCCTTAACAGAAAGAATAGTGCTGGAGGAATATCAATACCAAATCTCAAACTCTACTACAAAGCCATAGTAATCAAAACAGCTCGGTACTGGCACAAGAACAGACCCCCAGGACCAATGGAATAGACTTGAAAACCCAGAAATGAACCTAAAGACCTATAGCCATCTAATCTTCGATAAGGGAGCTAAAAAAAATAGAATGGAAGAAAGACAGCCTCTTCAGTAAATGGTGCTGGCAAAATTGGTTAACTACTTGTAGAAAACTAAAGCTAGATCCTATATATCACCCTGCACCTGAATCAACTCCAAATGGATCAAAGACCTCAGAGTCAAAGCAGATACTCTGAAAACATTACAGGATGGAATAGGAGAAACCCTAGGTCTCCTTGGCACAGGCAGAAATTTTCTTAATAGAGACCCAGAAACACAACAAATCAAAGAAAGGTTGGACAAATGGGATTGCATGAAACTACAGAGCTTCTGCATGGCAAAGGACATAGCTAGCAAGATCAATAGAAAGCCCACGGATTGGGAGAAGATCTTCACTAGCCATACAACAGACAAGGATCTCGTATCTAAAATATACCTGGAACTTAAAAAAAATTAAATCCCCCAAAAACAAATCTTCAAAGAAACAATTGCCCAATAAATAAGTGGGCTAAAGACTTAAAGAGAAACTTCTCTGAAGAGGATAGAAGGATGGCCAATAGCACATGAAGAAATGCTCAACCTCTCTAGCCATAAAAGAAATGCAAATCAAAACAACATTGAATTCTACCTCACCCTAGTTAGAATGGCTAAAATCAAGAACTCTAATAACAACAGATACTGGAGGGGATGCGGATAGAAAGGAACCCTACTGCATTGTTGGTGGGAGTGTAAACTTGTTCAGCCACTTTGGAAAGCAGTATGGACGTTCCTCAAAATGAGTACATTTCTTATCAAGCATTGTTGCCTCCTCCTTTGTTTCCCCTTCCCATCCCTTCCCATCCTTCCCTCATCCCCCCCACCCAACTCTCCTCCTCCCCCCACCAAAGTTGTAAAGTTCATTTTCGACATAACAACTTGTACATCTCATTGTTGCAATGGGTTTCTAGGTCTTATTTGTATAATAGTCTTGCCTTTCAAAAGTTCATTCTGTTTCATCAAACCACAGATACCTAGGTCCCTTCAGATCACCAGAATCATTATTCCAAGTGACTAAGAAGTGCTGTCGAACACACAGGCTCGATGATTCTGACATATACCAAAATGGACAATATTACATGACATCTCCTACTTCAGAAAGGCTGAGCATGGTGGCTCACATCAATAATCCCAGCACTTGAAGCAGGATAATCATGAGTTACAGGCCAGACTGAACTATATAACAAGACCCATTCTCAAAAACAAAAGAAACAAATAGATGAGCCCTGAAGGTCTATAGCTTAAGGATCAAGAAACAGCAGGCCACTGGTCTGACCAATCACCCAGGAGAAAACCACAACCAATGAGTGAGTTCAAGGAGAAACCCTGGAACATTCCTAGAAGACAATGTGGCTGGTGTAGGAAACCACAGAGTGAGCAGCATCCTGGGGCAGCTCCACCCTGCCCAGAAGCAGCTCAGGTGAGCATAGGTGGTTTTTGCTTTTAACAAAACTAGGAAGGGTGAACACGGCCTCCATGTTTCTGTACCTACCCTTCTCATCCTTCTGTGTAAAGCTTGGTTGGTCAGGCCTGATGATGTGAATTCATTGGGTTCTTTACCTACCCTCTCATTTCTATCGATGTGTCCTGGATAATCTAGCTTTCTATGACTTGTGCTGTGCTTATTTCCTTTTGCTCACCTACTTCAGTGGCCACCACTTGCACTCGGTACACATTTTCAGTTTCCCTGTCCAGTGGGGCCACGCTGAAGATCTCACCGGTGACAGCATCAATTTTGAGCCAACCTCTGGTATCGCCCTTCAGTGAGTACCTTCATGAATGGAAAGAGCAGGGGAAGAAAGAACCCACATTACTTTGTATGAAAAGACAGTTTGTCCATCACCACACAACCTGAACAGCACTATCATTTGTCTGTTATTAACAACACATTTGAAGGATCATCCAATGTCTCAGTCATTTCTACTTGCATATCATCTTGCTTCAAATGAGCATTTGTTCATCTTTACAACATGGTGTGGGTGCCTGTCTATTGTCACAAACTCTGTAAGAAAAGTTAATTTTCCTTGCAATTGAAGCATTCAAATTTAAGCAATCTAAAAGCATCTTTTAAAATCTCTCAGCAAACCACCCTTTCTAAGGCAACAAGCCCCCAGTGGTGAGCCACAGGTGAGATGAATGAAGAATCAGAGACCGCTGGGTCAGCAAATCCCACATTCAGCGAACATCAGTTGAGTGTTTCACATCAGGCAGTGGGTCAAGGGAAGGATCTACTAAAAGAAGCTCTTAGGCAATGGAGGAGATAAAAAGGAGAATGGGTATTTCCACTGAAATGTGGTAAATATTGTGGGGAGAAATCCAGAGAAGTCTAGGGAACCACCGAAGCCTTCTGACAATGATGTTGACAGAGATGGAGTGGGGAGCTCAAGTAGAAGGGTGAAGGGAAAGTTTGATGGGGGAGGGGTATCCCATGTGTTGGTGGTTTGAGGAGCCAGACATACACAGTGCTCAGCCATGGGCAGCCATCAAATGCTGTTGAGTGGGAAAGTGACCCGTTACATCTGTGTTTTCAGTGGAACCCAGCTCTCCTCATCCCCTGTGACTGTGGCCCTAGCACCGGGATAGGCCTGGCCAGCCCTGCTTTCCATACCTTATGTCCAGACCCTCGGGATCCCTCGCGGTCACACTGTCCACTTTAGTGCCTACAGCCACATCCTCACTGACTTTTGCTTGGAATATATTTTGGGAAAATACGGGTGCTTCATTCACATCTGTCACAATAAGCCTGAACGAGGTAAAAGAACTGGTGTTGTACACAACACCAGACACCAGAGGCTCGGGATTCTCTGCTTGGACTGTGATGGTAGAAACAGCTGCTGTTTCAAAATCAAGAGGCTGTGGAGGGTTGGAAAGAAGAGGATTATCTCCATGAAAATACTCCTTTCTTATACATGCAGAATGGCACTTCTTAATGCAGTATCAGCAAAACATACTTCTCAGGATGATAACAAAGCCATAAAAAAGTCTTTACTGTGGGATTTATCAGAGCTTTGAATAATTTAATGTGCATGATGACTCTCCTAACCCAAACTCACTGAATCTTGGGACTCTTCATTCATTTACCTATTAAACATTTACATTCTGAGCCCCAAAATAAAACACTTTAGAATTATGGGAGGTGGGAGAGGTGATCAGGAACCATTGAAGATGGACGATTGGTTCTCATCCAAGTCATGCTAGTGGGACCAGGAATGAAAATCAGGAAACCAGGAATGAAAAATGACAGATTTTTGGTTTAGTATGATGGCATAGTTAACAAGTAGGGCTATCTAAGATGAAAAGAGTTGATTAAGAAAATACATAAGGAGTTGGAAGCGTAACTGAAGTGGTAGAGTGCCAGCTAATGAACAAAAACATCAGAAACTGAGTTCAAGTCCTGGTCTCAGACCAAAACAGAAAACATGAAAGTTCCCACTTCTGGAAATTTCCAAGCATAGGCCTAAAAACATGTGACAGCTTAAAGATATGACCATCATGTAAGCAACTAGCTCTATGGGGTCTTCATGGTCCCTCTAAAAGCTGAAGACTTGAGAAAGAAATTCTTAGGAGAGGCCAACTGAAGAACAGATGGCCACTGCCACAGGCCTTGCTTACTGGGCCTCGGGTGTCTCTGACTACCTAAATGTTCTACACATGAGTTTATGTGGATCTGTGAGGACCAATGCAAAGCCCTAATCTATATTATAGATTATGGAAACCTCCTCCTACTACGTTCATTTTTCTAGTTCTAGAAGTCCCAGAATGTCTTGGTGAACTGTCGGGGCTTCATCCTTATACCAGTTTTTCGTACACAGGCAGGACCATTACCCCTTCATAAAGAAAAAGATGGAGACATGTCTGAATCGGTTCAGCCTTCCCCTCCCCTAGGAGCTGCTCAGTTCTGTCCTCTCCTTCTCTGCTTCCCTGACCCCAACAGACAAGCTCCACGCCCCCTGCAATCTCGCAGCGCTTAACCTAAGAATTCTAATTGTTTGCATTTTTTTGTTGTAGATCCTCACCAACTCTCCACTCCATGAGGAGAAGTGGGGACAAAACTAGATACCTCAACTTCATCTATGGTCGCATGATGTGGAACACAGATACACCTCTCTGTTCTTAGTCTGTCTATCAAGGACACAGCTCTGTTCCTTGTCAGTTCAGCCTAGCCCAGCCCAGGCAAGCTATGTAGATGTCTACACTCCAAAGCAAAGAAGGCCTGCCTATCCTCATCCCCAAACAAGCCCTATGTCTACTTCATGGCTCTTCCATCCCATCACTACAGTCCCAAAAGCACAGGCTTAAGAAATCAGGCAGAATGTGTCGATGGGAAGCAGCCTATGTTACCAGAATGAAACATGTGAGACCAAAGGGAGAGAGAAATGGCAGAGAAGACTGGGCGCCAAGCCAAAGAGCTGGGACTTTATCCTTGACTGAGAAGGTCAGAGTTGAGTTTCAGAAAGATAGCTCCTGGTACAACTAAAGGAGGGATGGGTTCAGGCTGATCCAAAGCAGGACAGAAAGATGGGATAAGAAACTGGGCAAGAAGATCTGCCAAGAGACTCAGCTGGTGCTCCATAGTTATAGAATGGAGAGGTAAATGACAAAGGAAGAGTCTGCATTAGGTACTCTGTCTGCTTAACTTCTGCACCTGAACAACACCCAGTCAAATCTGCAAGGAGCAAAAAAAAATTGGAAAGGGAAAGTACTAAGTTAGAAATGGTAATCAGCAAAGCCGAGCCCAGGGGCGCTGTTTTCCAGGTCAGCAAAGTCAAGAGACCTATCTCGGCCTGGTGAGCCACATTCATCTGATGAGCTGGAGACTCTGTTCTTGCCCTCATTCCTGCCTGCGCACAACTGCCTGCAAGCTGAAGCGGGGATTTAGACTCAACCTTAAAGGAGAGCTAAAGTGACAAAGGAGAGGGGCCAAGATGGGGGGGACATTCAACATTTTCACCAAAGTGTGCACATGCATTTATTAGATGATGCTCCCATCGGTTAATATTTCAAAGGGCTTCCCATGCTGGAGAAGGGACAAATTTACATTTAAAAAAAGATAAAACCAAAGAAAAACTCTGCATTTCAAGAAAGGAGGTCTCAGGAGAGTTATAGATGAGCAGAGCTCAAGAACGTAACTGTCCTGCTCATGATCAACACTACTTAACCCTACAACAGGCCCAGGGATGGGCACCAAAAAGGTGGTCGAGTGAGTCGGTTTTTCCACGCATTGCCTGGAGGACTTGCCCTAATTCCTGGTTTCCAGTCTTCTCCTGGGGAGGCTGAGGCAACAGTCTCCAGTGTGGGGGCTGGTGTGTATGTGGGGAAGGGGAGTATTTAAACAAAAGTGATCGACACAATTGTTCTGAAGTAGCGTTCTGAAGTTGTGGAGCGACATAGGAATAACACTCAGCCATACTTAAGAACACACATTTCAAAGCCAGGTGCTGGTGGCTCCCGCCGGTATCCTAGCTACTCAGGAAGCTGAGATTTGAGGATGGAAGTTTAAAGCCAGCCCCAGGAGGAAAATCTATGAAATTTGTATCTCCAACTAACCACCACAAAGTCCAAAGTGGCTCAAGTGGTAAAGCTCAGCCTTGAGCACCAAAGCTCAGGGACAGCTCCCAGGAGCTGAGTTCAAGCCCCGAGGTCAACACATATACACATACACATACACACACACAAAAGCATATTACAAGGGTCTGTCATTAAAAACACTTTGGCAAAAATGGCGTGAGCACATGCATTTATCCCACTTTTTTCTACATCTGGTAGGCAAATATTTAGTGGTTCTGAATGAAGAATCCACGTCTGAGACCTAGTTGTTGCTTGGTATTTGAGAGATTTCCCCATCTGAGGCTCACACTGTGGAGGGAGCTGCTACAATCCTCCAGCTAGCACTCTCCACCAGCATGACAAGGCTTGTTAATTAACAAAGGAATCTTTCAAAGAGATTTTCGCAGTACTATGGCTGGTGTTCAGTACTTCATTTAGTTACAAATACAATAGGTTGCTTGATCATTGCCAATGGAAGTATGAGCCTGGTGGCTCAGCAGCTGATGCCCTTCAGAGATCCAGGACTCCAGCTGTGCTCTGTTGAGCATCAGTCTTCATCAGGATGACCAGGAAATCCCCTCTCTTGAATACTGTTATTACAGTGTTTCAGGGACACAGTCTGCTTATGTGACTGTTCATAATTATATATAGAACTGACTTCAATTATTCAGTCAACAAATATATGCAATACAACCATATACAAATTAAAGATGTGACAGAGTCTGGACAGAGGTCCACTCTATTATAGCATATTACCTCACGTCAAGTTTGGGATTAACTCTCACTACTAATCACTGAGATTACCAACATCTCCCTCACTAGTGGAAAATTACCTTACTTTGACTTATCAGAAACTGCCATTATAGAAATTGACATTAGGAATGAACAGGCCTCTATCTTCCCTAGAAGGAAGCTCATAAGAGTCCTCAGAGAGGAAGGGAGAAAGTTTCCAATCATGTACAAAAGAGATGCTGCCTGGCCAGCCACTGCCAACTCTGAAAGCTGCCTTCTTCCTAAACTATCCTTCTGCGTACTTTCTTCCCATGTAGAGAGCCATGAACAGCAGTAGGGGCTACAATGGAATCTTTCCCAAATGCCATACTTAAATAGAATGTGCTGCTTTCCAGAGCCCCCACACAAACCTCTCTGTTGAGCCCAGAGAGGCCATTTATCTGAGATGGGGACTATAACATGTAGTCAGAGGTCTGAGACACTGTCCTGGGTACTGGCTTCAGTACTAGAATTTTACCCATTTGCTTTTATCCATTTCTGTGATATCATTCTATCCGTAGTCACCTTCAGCCTCTGCTTTCAACTTATCTTTACTTTGACTCAAAACTGTTTCCTAGAACATTTCTTTGCAGCCTCCAGACACTGCCCTGCAATCTTTCAACAGTTAACCATGCTTAATGATTCCCTATTGCTGAACTTCTGGCACCTCGTAACTGGAAAGCTTCCCTCCTTCTCCCAGGAAAGGTATTTTAGCTATGAGTACATTGGACAGCGTTGAATGTGCTTACAAGTGCATCATCAGACAGACCCATTATGTGTCCTAACACAGGCAGAATAGACAAAGAGAATAGACTGAAGACTTCAGGGGAACAGGATGAGGACAATGTTGAAGGAGGACAGGGAGGATCTGCATAAAGAATAACTGACACACTTTAGCTATAGACTACCTTGTCCTACAGAGAAAGATACAAAGCCAGAGCTACTGGGTTTAGCAACATCATCAAAGATAAAAGTAAGGAGAGGAGCCAGATGCCAGTGGCTCATGCTATAATCCTAGCTAGATTGCGAATGGGAGGATTGTGGTTCTAGGCCAGTCTGGGCAGAAATGTCTGTGAGATTCCATCTCAACAGCAAGAAGCCGCATGTAGTGGTATGTGCCTATGATTCCAGCAATTACAAGAAGCCTAAAACAGGTGGGTCGTGGTGCAGTTGCATGCCCAGGCAAGAAGTAAGATTCTATCCTAAAAATAAAGCTCCATATGTGGAAAACATGGCTGAGGGCATGGCTCAGTGGTAGAATACCAGTCTAGCAAGTGTGAGGTTCTGAGTTCAAACCCCAGTATCATAAAAGAAAGAAAAGATGACTAGATAGATGGGAAGGAAGGAAGGGAAGGAGGGAGTCAGAGAGGGAAGAGATAAAAGGATAAACTTGTCTATCAATCCTCAGACGAAAATCCAGTGATTCTTAATCATTCAAAAGGAGTTGGTGTCAAGAAAAAGAAAAAGAAACAGCTGGGGATTTGGGTGTTCAGCTCAGTGGAAGAGCACTTGCCTAGCAAGTGCAAGGCCCTGAGTTTGGCCCTCAGCTCTGCAAAAAAACAAGGGTAGGAGGGGGGTTGCTGAATAGGGGCTGGAGGCATAGCTCAGTAGTTGAGTACCTACCTAGCAGGTTCAAGGTTCTAAGTTCAAATCCCATTAATGCTAAGTGATATGTCACCTCTGCTGAATGGTCCTCACACATTTACAAATAAGTCAATCCACAAACAAAGACAAATTCAGCAAATGGGCTATTTACCTTTTTAATTGTGACATATCCTGCATTGGTTTGGGGATCTGTGTCAATTCCTAGTCTTCCCTCGTCGTCTCCCTGGGTAATCCGATACAGGATTCTAGAACTCCCAGTAAACGGCTCGTCAGCATCGGTGGCTTGGATGGTTAAGACGACAGACCCAACAGCTGTGTCTTCAGGGAGAGTCAGGACCCCATACTAAGGAAGAAACAGGGAACAATGAAAATATCCATTGTCATAGAATGTAATTGCCAAAGGGTAAGCCTGTTTTTTTGGTTTCAGAATAGACCTACATCATGGTCTACACCAATATTTTCCAAGTGTGGTTTTCCAATGGATAAACATGTTGCTGTAAATTTTAACTAACAATTAGATTTATGAATCCAAATCCATGGGAACGTTTCAATGACCTACTGGCAGGATTCTAAAACAGATCACCCCTTCCATATCCAAGATGGTGTGTGTGTGTGTGTGTGTGTGTGTGTGTGTGGTGTGTGTGTGTGTGTGTGTGTGTGTGTGAGTGTGTGTGTGTGTGTGCCCTGAGGCTTGAATTTGGAACCTGGCACTCTCACTCAGCATTTTTGCTCAAGGCTAGCACTCTACCATTTGAGCCATATCTTCACTTCTGGCTTTCTCATAGTTTACTGGAGAACCCTACAGACTTTCTTGCTCAAGCTAGCTTCAGATTTCATCCTCCTGAGTAGCTAGGATTACAGGTAGGATTAAAGGCATGAGCCACTGGAGCCTGGCTCCCATGTTTAAGAACTATAAATGTAATAATAATAACATTATAAATAAATAGCTATAATATACTGAAATGCGCAGAATGTGACAGATGCTTAATATACATATATTCTTTTAATTAATTAATTAATTAATTTATTGCCAGTCCTGAGACTTGAACTCTGGGCCTGGGCACTGTCCTTGAGCTCTTTTTGCTCAAGGCTAGAACTCTACCACTTGAGCCACTCCTGGCTTCTCCTGTAATTTAATTGGAGATAAAAATATCACAAACTTTGCTGCCTGGGCTGACTTCAAACTGCAATCCTCAGATCTCAGCCTCCTGAGTAGGGATGAGCCAGTGGCACCCAGCTCATTATTTTAATTTTTAAATCAACTAAGAAATAGAGGTTAAGAGCTGGAACTTTAGAGTCAAGAAATTAAGATGAGTCCTACACTTACCATTCATTACTGGAGTAATAAACATATCAGGTCATTCATCAGTTTGATTTGTCTAATGGAGACAATAATAGAACCTACTTTCTGTTTGTGGGGATTAGAAAAGATGATAATGTATATAAAGTAAGACCCCTGCATGCTTGCTACATAGTACTTCAAAGAGATAAGCAACAAAAACCCAAGTAGGGGTATTTCACTGCCAGCTCTATTTAACAGAAGAGCAAAGAACTAGGTGGAACAAACCTTTAGACAAGATTACACAGCTGGGAGTCACAGACTTGGGATGTAAGCTGGGAGTCACAGACTTGGGATGTAAATTCAGGTGTTTCCAACTCCAAAGCTGGTTTTGTTAGGACCAGCCTAAAGAATTTCCCACTCCCCTGACAACTGCCCAGATCAGCTCTCCTAGCACTAAGATAGTATAAGATAGTAACTGAAGGGGTCCAGGAGGGGATGGGACAATGAAAGAAGCAGGATCACTCTCCTCATAGTCAGCAATTGTAAGCTCTGAGACTCCCAAAGCAGAATCCTTAACTACTGCCTGGATGAAATGCAGGAACTCACAACACTGAGAAAGGTTCAAATACCCTAGGGAATAGAGGCTGAGAAGAAATGGGTTTTTATTTCATGCTTGCTTAACCTCAGTGCCTATTACACAAGGTGTGTCAGTCACACCTCTTACCATCCTGAGCCCTGTTATAAATCAATTCCCTTCTTTGTCACAGCCTTGTCCCTAATTTGATTTATGAGCAGCATCAGAGGGCTCGAGGCTGCCTCATAACTGGCTTTAAGCATGACATAACAATCTAGTCAAATGAGCTTGTCTCCCCTTCAGACTAAATAAATCGAGATGTCCCTTTGAAAGGAAGTAGTGATTAAAGCTACATCTAGTCTACAACTTGTATGAAAGACAAGAACGCAGTCACTTGCAATGTCTGACAATCTGAATCAACTATTTTCTTTATGTCCAGTTCTCCTGATTTTTTTCTCCCAAATGCATGCTGTCTTTAATATAAGCTAAAGATTCTGTTTTTCTTTTTCTTTTCTTGTACCCAATTATTATAAAATGAGTTAAAGCTGACCATATTTCAAATATTAAACTATACATAATTATGCTTTCTATTACCATTCAACAAATCAGTTTATAAGTACAATGAATCTTGATTGATGTCACCTCTTTCATCATTCTCCCCCTCAAATACTAACTTTTAAACTCAAATGCTTGATTGAAATCTAGCCATAACTTATTTATTGTTCTACTGTACACAAAATCTATAACAACAAACCACAAGTGGCCATTCGACTCCATTCAATTCATCAAAGCTTGTAGTTGTTTCTTTTAAGCGATCCTTGGAATAAATGAGCTGCTTATAAGAATTTAGAAGCAGACATTCACAGATAGTAGGACAGTGATTGTTTTTGTTCCCTGAAGATTTCCACTGAACATGGTGTCTGGGTTTGTTATTGGAACACCAACTAAGGCTACCTGTCATATTTGTCATTTTTTTCTTAACTATTGTCTATGAGTTTACTGGAGAAATAGGGGTAGAGTAATGGGAACAAAGTAAAGAAAACAGCCAACAGTGACAACTACTCACATCTGATTTTTCAAAGACAGGAATTTGATCATTGATATCGATCACGTTGATTTGCACAGAACAGAGGGTCTTGAAATCTGAAAAACCAAAGTCATATCACAAACATACATTTTCACTGTAAACCATGTATTCTTTGACTCTAAACAAATCAGAACTGTCAGAAAAAAATGGCAAGTGAAATGACAGTCACAACCACAAATTCACTTTTGATGTGTAATTTATGCAAATAAAGGGTTCTCTGCTCCCCACCTGGACTAACAAGCAAGTCTCCAAGAGGAAGGCAGAAGCTGAAGAAAGATGTGACAGAAGTTCCCCCTGGGTTTCCCATTGCCCCATCCTAAGAAAGGCGTGCTGCTGATCAAGATGGAGTCTTTTTTTCTGTAGGCCTCTCCCTTCTCTCTTAATGAAAAATGCATGGTCTTCAAAGTCCAATGCAAAGCTCTCCTTCCAAGAAGAAGCCTGCTCTGGATGTCTTGCAAGCTGTCCTTTCTTCTCCCAATGCATCCTCCCTTCATCAGTTCTGCCCACTGTTGGGGAGAGTTTCAAAGGCTCCTTGTTTTTCTCTCCTAGTAAGGAAGCTGCACAATTAGCCTACTCCAAGGAAGGCTGAGAGTGAGCGCACAGGACCCTGAAGAACTCCCTTGTACATGTTCCTTCCATTTACTGATTCACAGGTCCAGGTCCTCTCCAGAATGAGCACCTTTTATGACAGACAATGAGTCTTATGCAAATGTGCAACCCCAATACCTGTCTGGTGCCCAAAATAAGACAAAAAGCTCAAAAACCACTGAAAGAACAGACAGCTAATAGTGTAAAACTGTCACTTCATCATAACAGGGATGATTTATCAGAATCACTTCCACACAGTGTTAAACAAAGATTTGACCTTCAATAGCTGTCAAATTACTGGGTTTCAAACCTTCTGCACTGGAACTTGCTAAAATCAAGTTCTCCCAACAAATCTACATCCATGTGAAGAAGAGGAATGCGGAACACAGGAAGAATGATGCTCATTTCTTCTCCATATTTATGTAACCTGTGTTCCCTAGCAGAACAGTTACTGAATTGTTTCCTATTTTAAGACTGAGTTAGTGCTAGCTCAAATGCTTCTTAACCTTCTAGGAGTCTGCACACACTGCTACCAGTCTTTTTGAATGAAGGTCTTTTTGTGTATCTGTGCACATTTGCCTAAAAATGTATATGGATCTTGTGATGCACAGCGATTAGGAACCATTGTTTTGAAAGTGTGCAAGAAGTAGGGGAGAATGTTTCCTGGTATTGAAGCTGATGAGAGAAGACAGAAATTTCACAAAGATTCAATTCTCCTCCACTTTCATATCCACCTCCTTTGAGTCCAAAAGCAAGATTAGGAAATACAATTCATTTGCCTGTTTGTGATCATGGTGGTTCCAAGAATGTGCCTGGGAGGTCTTTAACCATCAGGATAGCAATTGCTCAGCAATAAAATCCAACAGAGCAGTGTTGCTTGTGCTACATCTCTAGCCTTTATGAAAACATGCATTTCACCCAGGAAGCAAGGAATTCTTAAATGGCACCATTCTATAATATATCCAGGCATTGGAGCCACCACAGACAACAGAACAATATGAGGTATTCAAGCACCCAGCCAATCCTAACAGAAGGAGAGTAATTACTTGTGATTATGACAGCAAATGTGATACTGACCTCCATTGGACACCTCTACCGTTAAATTGTACTGAGGACTATCTTTCTTCTTCAAGGACTGTTTAGCTAACTGGAACTTCCCCTCATATTCTCCAATCATGAAGAGTCCATCTATAGGAACTTTGGGGGTTTGTTCCACAATTTTGTACTTCAAAATGCTGTTGAAAGTGTTTGCTTCATCCAAGTCATGTGCAATGAAGATTCCAATACTGGCACCTGGGAGCAAGTAAAGAGGGAAACCAGGCTCCATGTGACATATTTTTAAATTGTCTCACTGATATAACCAAATCACACAACATGGCCTTTTACAATAGTATGTCATTTAATACACACCAGTTTTTAAAAGACAAAAGAAATGGTTTCACTGGATAAACAAGGACCTAGGAAACACATGGAATAGTTTTGAATTAGCAGACAAACGCTTTTAATTTTATTTTAACTCCTTAACCTTTTCTATGATGTAAATTTATATATACATATATACATATATATAATACACTAATACACACACACACACACACACACACACACACACACACACACACACACACACACTGCAGTGTATTAGTTAGCCAGGACTGCCATAAAGTGTTGTGGCCCAACTGACTTAAATGAGAGAAATCTGGTTTTTTTCTCAATTCTGAAGGATGCATAACTGATCAAGGTTGTTGACAAGGTTGTTTATTTCTGAGGCTTCTCTCTGGCGTTCTCTTCCCTAAGCTTTCCTGTCATCTCCTCTCTGCCTCCTTGTGTCCAAATTTCCTCTTGTTATAAAACACCAATCATAATAGTTTATAGCCAACCATAAACACCTCATTTTACCTTAATTTCCTTTTGAAAGACCCTATCTCCAAAGAACCACATTCTGAAGTATTAGAAGTAGAGCTTTACTGTATGAAGGAGGCGGGGCACAATTCAGCCCACACAGAGGGATAAGACTTCAAGGCACAAATCTGGGGGACACGGTTCAGAACAAGTGTCCATCTAACCCATATCCACCCACATTCTCAGCATCAGACCTTTGAAAACAGGGACATCACAGACAGAACTAGTTAAGGATATTGAAATGAAATCATCCTGGATTTATAGTAACCCTAAGTCCTTATAAGAAGGGGCTATGCAGGGACACACAGAGGGGAGTTGATGGTGTGAAGGAGGACAGAAATCAGAGTTATGCTGCCACCAGCAGCCAATGTGAGCCCAAAAGGGCAGAGATTCTCGCCTAGAGACTAGAACCTTCAACCTTGATTTTTGCTGCCTCCGGGACTTCGAGAGGATACTTTTCTCTGGTTTTAAGCCACCAAGTGTCTGGTGGCTCATTACAGCAATGCTAGGACATTCATAACCATATGGTTGAAAGGAATAGGGAGAGACCAACTTCAAAGAGCAACTGGCTCCACCCAGAAGATAGCACAGGCCAAAGAACAGGCACACACACCCTGCCTACCATGCTGCAAGCTACCAACCTAAGTATTTTATTCCCGTGACTGTCGGTCAGGGAGCAGCAGAGGTCAGTGCCCATGACTCTGTGCTCTACCAGCTCAGGGTAAGTTCTGAGAGGCTCCTAAACATCTTGTTCCATGAAATGGGAATTGTGGGGTTTTTACATAAGCTAAGAATCTCACCTAAGAGTGAAGACTTGAATTCATTCTAGTCTTTTTTTAAAGACAGGTCTCATTTTGTACTTTCTTCTTTAACTCATAATCCTCCTGCCACCAGCCTCCATCTCCTAAGGGCTGGGATTACAGGAATATCCCACCACAACATCTGGGTGGTGCAGGGTCTTGAGGCTTGAACTCAGGACCTGGGCACTGTCCTTGAGCCATTTTGTGCTCAAGGTTAGTGTTCTACCACATGAGCCACAGCACTACACTCAGGTTTTTCCAAGTTTTATGAAGATAAGAGTCTCATGGACTTTCCTACCCAGGCTGGCTTTGAATCGTAATCCTTAGATCTCAGCCTCCTGAGTAGCTAGGATTGCAAGCATGAGCCATCAGTGCCTGGTAGATTCAACCATTTTTAAGATAGTTTTCATGAACTGCCTGATAGGGAGACTGAGAAGAATATCTTGGTTTGGTGAGCTGGAAAAAGGAAATTGCCTACACTGTTTCTTCAATGGAACGGGCCCAGGCATGTGTTTCTCATGGACTGGGTTAATGGGCCATGGTGAATGACAGGACAGAAGAGAACATGTATCTAGAACATGGGCAGCTACTGCCCATTTCCAAATCCATCATGACTGGTTGATCTCTGTGGAATGTACAAGTCCTGGTAGGTGTCTGTGTGAGATAAAAGGATGCCCTGCAGAATCCTGTGATCCATTGGTGTCTGAGCAGTTCTGCTTCAGATATTTCCACTCAGCAAGTGAGTATGACACAAGGATTCTGTTCTCTAACTCCACAGGAAACGTCTACCTGTCAGGGGCATCATAAGGGCTATTGGTGTCCAGTAGCACCCCTTTGGTGGGAGTAAGAAGACTCTTTCATAAGCCAGAGTTCAAGGAACACCACGCCTCTGAGTGACTGAGCTAGGACAAGTGGTAGACCAAGCCACTCAGAGGCAAACCCAGCCACACTTGAGAGTACCCAGAATACTCTGGGGAAGCAGGGACTTCAAGAGAGGCTAAATTCCTTGTATAAATATGGTATAAACAATGAGATGTACAAGACAGTATGTCAAAAAGTGAACTTTACAACTGCAGCACGGACTGGGGTGGGAGGTGGGGGGGGGGGGGAGATGGGAAGGGATGGGAAGGGGAAACAAAGAAGGAGGCAACAATGCTTGATAAGAAATGTACTCATTACCTTGCCCATGTAATTGTAACCCCTCTGTACGGTATTTTCACAATTAAAAAAAAAAATGGGCTGTCACTTCCAAGATTAGGTTATTATCATATAGCAAGGAAGACTGATGTTCATGTTGCTCATTCTTTCTCTCTCATTCCCTCTCTCTCTCATTTCCTCTCTTTTCCCTCTTTCTCTCACTCTCTCTCTGTGTCTGTGTCTCTCTCTGAACTACACCTAGATTCCTTTGCTGACTCACAAAAACCATGAGATAATAAATGTCTCTAGATTCCTTTCCTGACTCACAGAAACTATGAGATTATAAATGTCTATCAGTTGAAGTTTTGGGAAAATTCCTTATACAGCAACAGACAACAAATACATCATTTGTTCGGCCTAGTGACTTGAGGCATCATCTGGAAAGGTTTTAAAATCTTCAAAGATTTTCCACCTTCATTCAGCTTCACAGACCATTCCTAAGTTCCACAGAGGATGGTACTACAAGTACAAATCCACTCTTCTTCCTCATTCTATTATTATTCAATTGTTACTGTGATAAGATTATTAGTTCAAGTTGTCGTTTAATTCTTCTTTTTGGGTCAAGAGTTAGAACTGAGTCAAATAGAAAGGACCGGGGCAGTACAGATGATAAGTAGCTCCTATATGTTACCTGACAACAAGGAAAACAATGATCATAGACCGAGAAAATCGACCACAGTGCCAGAAAAAAACAGTGTCTGTATCAGAAGTCTGTAAGGACAGATTAAATTGATTTTAAATAGATTTAAAACAAAGAAGAGAATGTCAACAACAACACCACCTGCAAAGCCCTAGCAATGATATTCACAGGAGACTGTTAAGTTTATAAGCCTTGGAAATTTCCATAGCACATAGACAAGAGCATTTCAAGAAATGCCATCCTTCTCAGTCATTGGGCTCAACACCAGGGGGAAATAGGTAAAGGCTGTCCCCAATCCAGGGAAGTCACAAAACCACAGAAATGATAAGGAACTTACAGCAGCATTTCTATTCCAAACTTAAAGTTTTGATTATGAGGTACAGCAAAAAGAAAAGAAGTTATAACCAAAAGGATAAACATAAAAAGACTTAACTTCATCCACTAGTCTCCTGAAACATCAGCTTCCTAGAGAAAGTGCTTAAGGGTCAAATTCAATTTTCATTGTGCTGTTATTATGGGGTACCTGATTGGGTATAAATGTTTATTTACAAGTTTGATGACATGTCATCTCTTTGAAATGATCTTATTAGAGATCAAATAAGATTATTTAAGGGAAAATCTTGCAAATGATATATCCCTGTATATATACTCAGGACACTGGTATGGGAGTATCTTGACAGTGAGAGACTGTACTCAGAATAATAGTAGAGGTGGTCGCACTTATCATGGTTGTAAGTTCCAGCTCAAGAGCGACACCCAACAGGCATGTGAGAGACCCTATGATGAAACCCCTTTGAACGATTAAGATGCACAAAAAAGAATATTAAGAAGTTAAAATATTTCTGATCTGGGCTGTAACCATAAGAAGGGGCAGACAAATAGGGAGGAAGAGGAAGACAAAATATATACATGGGTGAAAATGGAACAAGGCAACTTGGTAAGACTAGTTTGGGAAGGGGGATGGGGGACATTGGTAAAGGGTGAGTTGAATCAAGAGCAGAAGCCAGGCACCAGTGGCTCATGCCTGTAATCCTAGCTACTCAGGAAGCTGAGATCTGAGGATCAAAGTTCAAACCCTGCCCATGTGGGAAAGTCCATAATGTTCTTGTCTCCAATTAACTACCCAAAAAGCCAAAAGTGGAGATGTGGCTTCAATGGTAGAGTGCTAACCTTAAGCAAAAAGGAGCTCAGGGCCAGCGCTCAAACCTAGAGTTTGAACCCCAGGACTAGCAAGAAAAAAAAAAAGAAATAATGTATATAAGATGGAAACCTTGAAACTATTACTACAAGAAAGAGAAGGAGAAGCATTAGAATTGATTGGCACATAAGAAATGTAATCACCACCTTACTTATGTAACTGTAACCCCTCTATACATCACCTTAACAATACAGTTTTTTAAAAAAATAATTGATTGGCACAGGCAGGAAATTCCTGAGTAGAATTCCAGGGGCTCAACAAATAGGAGAGAGAATTGACAAATGGGATAACATTAAGCAAAGCTTTTGCCAAGTGAATGGTTTAGTCACTAAGCTAAAAAGAGCCTAGAAAGGAAGATCTTTTCGAATATGCATTTGACAAGAGTTAAAAAAAAAAAGCCAGAATATACACAGAGCTCAGTAACAAAATTCAGTCACCCAATTAATAAATAGGCAAAGGAGCTAAATCTACACTTCTCAGAAGTAAAAGGAAATACATGAAAAAATGCCTGACATCCCTGGCCATAAAGAAAATGCAAATCAAAACAACATTTAGTTTCCATCTCACTCTAGTCAGAATAGTCATTATCATGGATACAAACAACAACAAATGCTGCTAAGGGCTGGATGCCAGTGTCTCATGCCTGTAATCCTAGCTACTCAGGAGGCTGAGATCTAGGATTGAGAGCCAGCATGGGCAAGAAAGTCCATGAGACACTTATCTCTAATTAACCACCAAAATGCCAGAAGTGGGACTGTGGCTCAAGTGATAGAGTACTAGCTTTGAGCACAAAAGCTCAGGGATAGCACTCAGGCCCTGAGTTTAAGGCCCAGGACAGGCTCACTTTTGTAATCCTAGCTACTCAGGAGGCTGAGATCTGAGGATTGCAGTTCAAAGCCAGCTTAGGCAAGAAAGACCATGAGACTCTTATCTCCAATAAACCATTCAGAAAACCAGAAGTGGTGCTGTGGCTCAAGTGGTAGAGCCCTAGCCTTGAGCTGAAGAGCTCAGGGACAGTGCCCAGGCCCAGAGTTCAAGCCGCATGACCGACCGACAGAAAAAAATGCTGGTGAGGATGTGAGGAAAAAAACCTATATACTATTGGTGGGAATGTAAACTAGTGTAACCACTATGGAAAGTAGTATGGAGATCTCCCAAAATACTAAACATAAATTACCTTTTGACCCAACAATACCACTCTTGAACATTTACCCAAAAGACGGCAACTCAAGAAACAATAAAGACAACTGTACACCCATGTCCATTGCAGAACTATTTACCATAGTCAAGTTATGGAAAGAGCCCAAATGCTTTATAATAGACAAATGGATTAAGAATTGTGACATATTTTTTCATATCTACATATGCATATATAAAAACATATATTCCACATATATTTGTGTGTACGTGATTTTATTCACCCATCAGGAATAAAATATGTCACTTGCAGGAAAATAAGATGGGCTAGAAAAAATTATATTGAGTGAAGTTAAGTCAGGTTCAGAGAGACAAAGGCACATGTTTTCTCTCATATGTAGAAGCTGGATCTAAACACAACCAAATATGAAAACACATACATTGCTCTATGAGCATATACACAATCAAACTGACTGAAGCATGACATACCCAGGGTGGATTCCCATCTCTTTGAACAACTAACCAACCATTTAACAAGATGAATAAAACATGTGTTGCCTCCGGAGGCTGGAGATTAAGGGGGAAGGGTGTAGGAATGGAGAGTGAAAGGGTGGGTGATAATACTCAATACACTGAGTCAAAGTGCTACATGAATATGAAGCTAGATAACAATGGGTGGACTGGGATGGGGGAGGGAGAATGGTGGAAGGGTGATTCTGATCAAGATACATTGTACACACAAATAGGTATGCTGAATCAAAATCATTTTTACAAAGATTGTTTTTAAATGATAATGAAATTTAAAATAAGCATTGCAGGCATAGATGGACTTGTTAAAACATAAGCAATTGATGTTCATGTTTTTAAAAAAGAATATAAGATATAGTTTGATGTCAGCTCTTATGCCTGTGTAATTCTCATGGCACATTCAACCTCAGATATAGGCAATGACTGTATAGTAGGTCTACCTGCCCGTGTTTTACCCAAAAGACAGGAGAAAGAGATTATAGCGTTAATTCAGCACGGAGCAGCTCTCTTTTCTTACCCAATACTTCATTCTCCTGGACCTCAAATACAGTTACTGCAGATGGACATGTCGGTGGGTTATCATTAATGTCTAGAACTTTCACGTGAACTTCCAGAGGGTATGAAAGTAGTTTTCCATACTCGTCCTTTGCAGCTGCATAAAAAACATACTACAACAGGGAAGTCAAGAGTTAGAAGACTTTCCCTGCCCCTTTAAAAGGCAGAGAAAATGACTGTTCCGCTTGATCCACCCCTTTATTGTCAACTTACTTAGAACAGAGAAATGAGGAGGAAAGTGAAACAGGTGAGGAAATTATCCAACTATACGATGTCTTGGAGATCTAATAATACATCAAGTATGGAACCCAAATTTTTAAGTAACATCAATTTTACTTTCACAGTAAGGAGATGTGGGCTTTGTCAGAATTTCACGAAAGTTCTCCCTTGTACTCACCGAATCCTTTTCTTCTCGGTCCAAGGGCTGGGTCACATAAATATTTCCTTCCTGGTCAATTGAAAATGGGAATCTTTCCAGTTTCTCCTTCTGAGCTAAGGAATATTGTGCCCCTGGCTCATTCCACTGTACCTGATGGGCCCAAAGTACATGATCAGGAAGGACACAAGTAGAATTAGACAGGAAATAAACAACTTCCCATTTCTCATTTGAAACTTCTGATAACTTCCCATGTCAGGATAACTGAATTCTTTCCACCTAAAGTAAAACTTTAAAAAAAATGCTGTTGCTTTAAAAAAAACAATAAAATAATACCAAGGAAAGTTTCTTTTCTAATGCAATTTTTCTCCAAGAATTTATGGCTTGTTTTCTTTCAGAAGTTTGGACCAAGGGGCTCACATGCCTGAGATGTCAACTTAGGAAGCCAAGTGGACTTTGTAGCTGGCATTCTGAAAACTAAGTCATGATGTATAATGAGAAAGAATAAATGAATAAACCCAAAGTGAGAACAGTCTACTTGTTGCTCAGGCGGAGCTTGACCTCTCTGTTGTTCTATTAGTAATACTAATAATAATATTTATAGAAGATATATCACATTGCATACACAATTCTGAAAACTTCCATGTACCATCTCATTTACTCATCAAATGGACCTATGAACTAGAGACTACTGTTATACCCAGTTTACAGATGAGGAAACTGGTGCACACAAAAAAATGATGTGACAATCAGGCACTGGTTGGTCACACTTATAATCCTAGCTACCCAGGGGACTGAGATCTGAGGACTGCAGTTCAAAGTCAGCCCAGGCAGGAAAATCCGAGAGACTCTTATTTCCAATTAACAACCAAAAATGGGAAGTGGAGGTGTAGCTCAAAATGGTACCTTGCTAGCCTTTAGCAGAAAGGCTCAGCGACAGTGCCCAGCTCTGTCTGAGTTTCAAGCCCTATGACTGACCTTCCTCCCCACCAAAAAAAAAATCCAAGATCCTGAAACTACTTGAACAGAGAACTAGTCTCCCAATTTAGGAAGTTATCACAGAAATAGTTTTGTGCTTGCTAGTTATTTAAGCACCACCCATTCACTGTCAAAGACTGCATTCTTGGTCCTGAACTGAGCTCCCTTTCTATTTTTCTCAAGCTGAACCCCCCAAGACTAAAGACCCTCTGCTGGGTCTTCATGGAGACATTCCTCAACCCTATTTACTGAGGAGAGATTAGGATTCAGGTTAGTTAGATGACTTTTCTGTGGTCAGTTATAAGTTGATGGAACAAAAACGTGGTTCCAGGCATCTGCTTCCAAACCCAAGGCTCTACCACCACTCACAGACTTCCTGCCAAAGAAGCACTGGACTTCCAGAACATCTGAGACGGTGCTGGGCTCCAGAATGGATCTGCAGGAGCTCAGACAGGGAGGAAGTCACTGACAAGAGCACCCACCATGGAGGTGGGAAGGGAGACACTGAATGGGACGGAGAGACACACACAGGAGAGGGAGCAGGAGGTCTCCAAGGAGAACAGTTGCCTGTCATGGCTCTTCACTCAGAGCTAGCCCTGTCTCTGTTCCTCAGTCTCTGATAGGATGAATCTATTGGGTCAATACTTTCTTTCCTTACAAGATTTGAAAGCAGATTTTAAAAGAAAAATACTTGCAGTCCCAAATTTAAACTACATATATGTGCATGATATGTGCACCAAAAACAATCCCCAATTAACTGTGTGAGTGAAGTACACAACACACACACACACACACACACATACACACACACACACATTTGAATGTAAGTTTTCTCCCCATAATGATAATCTCCAGAGATTTGCTTTGCAATTATGTGATACCAAAAAAATGTACTAATAAGTGCCTCAGTGAAGACTCTCGGGAGTAGGTCTCTACCAAACAAGGCTGTGTATCTCACGGGCTGTAGATGTCACTCAGACGCTACCTGAGTGATTTTGATGGGGTGAGGGTCAGTGGAGTTTTCAGTAACCTCCACAGCATCTGGTGCTTTCCAGATATTCTCTTTCACCATAATATCCACCGATGCTGTGTCACTGAAGGAATTCTCGTTCTGGCCTCCCATATCCTTCACCGAGACCAACAGATTGTAGTTAGAATTCTTAACTGGATCCAATTCCTGAGACCCTGCAGGAAGAAAGGATGAAGAGCAGAGCAGATGCCTCTGAAGGTGGCAGACAGAAGTCCGTTTCTCTGACTCAGCATCATGAGACGTCCCTTGGCTTACCTTGTAGGGTGAGTGATATTGCTCCTGTCTGATTGTTGATCTGAAAGTACATGACGTTGTTGATCTTGGGAAGCTGGATGACAATTTGGTAAAAAAGCTGTGCATTGGGGGTGCTTGGATCGTCCAGGTCTGTTGCATTAACATACATGAAGGGCTTTCCTATTTAATAAAACATACCCAGAAGGAAGAGTTCATTGAAACCCAAACCAAACATAGGCACTTTTGCCTTTTAAGAAGTAGGAACACAGTAGGGGTATTATTCATAATTCATATCTGTGGAGAAGCCAGTCTGTATCTTTCTTCCCTCGTGGAGGATAGGGTTTCTCAAAGTGTGGTCCCTAGAAGTCTCTAGGGACCGTTAAGTCTCTAGGGATTCCGGAGTCAGTGTCAAGATGTCTACAGATTTGCAATCACACACACTAAAATTATATAAAAGCCATTCAAAGAGTAAGTTAATTTAATGAATTTTAATGCAAAAGTGTACAAAACATGTTGTCGCCGATATGTTTTCAGAGTCTGCATTGCAACTAATCTTAAGGAAACCATCACTTCTCAAGTTTTGGTAACTTCTCAAAGAATTCGCTCAGTTTTCTAGGAAGACTATTAAAATATTCTTCTCTTTTTCAACTACATATTGATGTAAGGCTAACTTTTCTTCAAGTACAACAACAACCAAAATAGCATATGAGAACAGAATAAATATAGAAACAGACATGATAACCCAATTGTTTTCTGCTAATCCAGATATTAAAAAAAACTTGCAAGAACTAAGATAATGCCACTTCTATCACTAAATTGTTTTCATCTTGAAAATACAATTTTCATTAAAATGTGTCTTTTAATTGACTTAGTGTTTTAATAACAGATACTATATTGATAAATATAACCAGGAATGTACTGGAGTTAGCACATTACAATTCTGAATTTTCAAAAGTTTTGTGAATCAATTATTAACACCACTGGTAGCTTGAAATATGTCATAATAAGGATATTTATACCATGGCAATTTGCAAATCATACCCAGAAAGAGTGATTAAACATTGACCAGAACGCCACTGGATATAACATGCATGTTCAAGAGTTTATTGAGACCCTCCAGTTTTTTTTTTTCAGAGAATGTTGGACTCCTGAGATCAAAAAGTTGGAGAAGCATTTCTCTAGGAGATTTTATTAATGATGAGAACAATGGTGAGGCTGGAGGATTCTTACACAGTAGAGACGGTGAGGGAATGTTTGGTGGCAACTTCAGGATTATGGGGACTGTGGGATTCTGCTCCCATAATGAATTTTCTGAATTATTAGTTATGGATGATGAGGACTGAGAAAAGGAAAAGCTTGGGTCAGATGAAGGATTCGTCAGTTCTGAGTCAGTGGAAATGGCTGAGAATCTGAAATTTTGGAAGTCTAACATTCTTTGTTTTTTTGTTTTTGTTCTGTCAGTTGTGGGGCTTGAACTCTGGGCCTGGGCAATGTCCTTCAGTTCTTCTACTCAAGGTGAGCACTCTACCACTTGAGCACCACTTCCGGTTTTCTGGTAGTTAAGTGGATTTTCCTGCCTGGGCTGGCTTTGAAATGCGATCTTCAGATCTCAGCCTTCTGAGTAGCTAGGATTACAGGTGTGGGCCACTGGCACCTGGCTTAAGTCTAACAGTCTTCTCTGCTTGGTGCAGTGTTGGGATACAATACTTCCTCATGGGCCTGCTGTACCCTCTCTACCTCCGTGAAAGACTGTGGAAATAAAGGACAGAAGGTCCTTTAAAGGAATGGGTCATGGGTGACAGATGGACAGAGAAGAAGAACTGGAACCAGCCACTGTGATTGGCTCTTGCAAAGAAATGCAAGAGTAAGCTCACCTTTCCCCACTGTCCTAGGGCACCCTTGAGCTCTAAGATATTTTAAAGCTCACTGTAGAGAGTGATTTTTGCCTCCCATCACACCCTACCATGTACTTAACAATGTTTACAGATATTTTTATTGTCACAACTTATGGTAGGGAATGCTCCTATCTCAGAGATCAGAGAAGCTGCTAAACATCCTACAACTCACAGGAGAGCCCAAAACAACACAACAGCAGCAACAAAAAGTAATGATCAGGGCAGGGCCAAGATGTCAATAGTACCGAAGATGAAAAATCCTGACCTAAACTTTAAATAATAAAACAATTCCCAGTTGGGCATAAGTGGTTCACACCTGTAATTCTAGCTACTCAGGAGGCTGACATGGGTCATGGTTTGAAGCCAGGCTGGGCAGAAAAGTATGTGAGACTATTATTTCCAATTAACCACTAAAAAAGAAGCCAGAAGTGGCATTTTGGCTCAAGTGATAGAGTGCTAGCCTTGAACAGAATTTAAGGACAGTAATCAGGCCCTGAGTTCAAGCCCCAGGACATCACCAAATATAAATTTAATGATACGAGCAACTCCCAGAAGATCACTGTGAAATTTATATGAGATAATAAATTATTAATGAGTGATAATCACAGCTATTAGCCACATAGATCTCCCCCTCCACCTTATTCCCATTTTCTACAAATATCTCCAGGCAGCTGCCTGTTACCTGGGCGGGAGTTCTGCCTTACTGAGCCTTCATACTTCTTTTGAAGAAATGTAGGCCGGTTGTCATTGATGTCCTTCACTTCTATGGTGATGGAGACTGGGCCCTCCACTGTGGCTCCCTGAGCATTGAGGGCAGCAAGCTGATGTTGAGGAAAAGAAAATCCACTGGTGAGACTGAAGGAAATTAGAACTAAAAGAATCAATGGTCTGGTGACTATGGGAGACAAAGAACCCACAAAAGCCCAGACTGACAGGGGTCCATCAGCTCAGTCAGCAGAGGGGGTGCTGGACACTGGACATGTTTCCGTTCTGAGTGACTGGAGTCAGGGCGTGCTGATGCACGAAGCCATGGGAGAGCCAGGCCCTTTCTCAGAGGTGTTCCATTGGTGTCCCTATGGAGCCCATGCAGAAGGGCCTGACAGGAAGCTGTTGGCCTGCTCCCACACAGCTTTCTGCCTTTCCTGGGTGTTCAGATACCAACCCTGAAACCCGGAGATAGGTGAAGGATCTTTAGTTGGTCTCTCACCATTGTATCCTTCTGCTCTGATGCCTGAAGAAGCTTTATCAGAGCCCTGGTTGTGGGTATGGATCCCATACAACAGCCACCAGCAAATACCCAGTGACACAGAACAGAAACACTGGTGAGGTTTCAGCCCTGGTGACCAAAGGCCATGTGGAGGCTTAATCATATAAATGAGATTTACTCTGGTTCAAATGCCTAAGGTAAAGCTGGATCCCAATTACTATGAGCTACGCAGGAGATTGTGATTGTTGAAGTTCAAGGCCAGCCTGGGCAGAAGAAAATAGGTTGCAAGACCCCCTTCTCAATGAAGAGAGAGATGCAGCAGTACGCATCTGTGCATCTGACTATCCTAATTACTGGGAAGCTAACTTAGGCTCAAGTATGTGCCTGGGCAGGAAGTGAGACCCTATCTCAAAAATAATGAGAAAAAAACCAGCAGCTTAGCCCAGTGGTAAGAATGCCAGTGTGGAAAGCTCAAGGCCTTGAATTCAAACCCCGGAAGAAAGAAAGAAAGAAAGAAAGAAAGAAAGAAAGAAAGAAAGAAAGAAAGAAAGAAAGAAAGAAAGAAAGAGAGAGAGAGAGAGAGAGAGAGAGAGAGAGAGAGAGAGAGAAAGAAAGAAAGAAAGAAAGAAAGAAAGAAAGAAAGAAAGAAAGAAAGAAAGAAAGAAAGAAAGAAAGAAAGAAAGAAAGGAAGGAAGGAAGAAAGGAAGAAAGAAAGAAAGAAGGAAAGAAAGAAAGGAAGGAAGGAAGGAAGGGAAAGAAAGAGAAAGAAAGAAAGAAAAAAAGAAAGAAAGAAAGAAAGGAAGGAAGGAAGGAAGGAAGAAAGAAAGAAAGAAAGAAAGAAAGAAAGAAAGAAAGAAAGAAAGAAAGAAAGAAAGAAAGAAAGAAAGAAAGAAAGAAGGAAGGAAAGAAAGAAAGGAAGGAAGGAAGGGAAAGAAAGAGAGAAAGAAAGAAGAGTGCACCTCTGCCTTGTCCATCTGTAGTTGTTAAAAAATGGTCATATGGATGCTGAACACTGGTGACTCACACCTGTAATCCTAGCTACTCAGGAAGCTGAGCTCTGAGGACTGAGGTTCAAAGCCAGTCTGGGCAGAAAAATTCCCCCAAATCTCTTATCATTCCTTAACTAGCAAAAAGCCAGATGTGAAGCTGGGGCTCAGGTCTAGCACACACACACACACACACACACACACACAGGGGTCATATGAGGATCATAAAGCATGTCAGGAATGTCAAGACAGCTGTAATGGCAGGCGCGGGTTGAAGGAGCCAGTGAGGCTGCAGGATCACGGGCACCATGGAGGTGTGAGCTCCAGCCCTTTGTGTGGTCTCAGCTTACCTGAAGATGGTAGGTAGCTTTTGTCTCTCTGTCCAGGGCTCTTGTGCAATACAGCAGTCCATCTGGTTGGATCATAAATATGTTGTCGGTCTCCCCAGTAAGTTCAAAGGTCACAGCTGGAGGATCTGCTTTAAACTGGGGGTAAAAAAGCAAAAGATAGGTTCAGCCATGAAGAGAAACAAGGCTGTGGAATCTGTACCTGCTTCCGGCTGTTTTTATTTATATAACCACTAAAAAAGAAAAATTTAGCCCATTGAAGTGATTGATATGTCCTAAGAGTTTGTTTATATATTAATTATGTAACACACAAAATACATGCTTTTTAAGAATTAACGTATCAGGGATGGGAAGGTGGCTCAGTGGTAGAGCACTTGCCTTGCATACATGAGGCCCTGGGTTCTATTCTTCAGCACCACATAAGCAGAAAAAGCCAGACATGGTGCTATGGCTAACATGGTAGAGCACTATCCCTGAGCTGCAGAGCTGAGGGACTGAGCCCAGGCCCAGAGTTCAGGCCCCACAACCGACACACAAAAAAAAACAAAAAACAAAAAAACTTAATGTATCATGCTGGCAGCAGATTCCTCACGCTGTGATCCTAATTATGGGGGAGGCTGAAATCTGAGGATCACCTTTGAAGCCAGCAGGAAAGTCTACAAATCTCTTTCTCCAGTAAGCTACTCAAAAAGCTGTAAGTTGGAGCTCAATTGGTAGAGCACTAGCCTGGAGCAAAAAACTCAGGGAGAATGCTTAGGCCCTAAGTTCAAGCCCCAGGATTGGTACAAAAAAAAAGGAAAACAAAAATAAGAAAAAAAGGGGGAGGAGGAAAAATAAGAAACAATGTTATTATATTAATTCATTGACAAAAGATATTAATGCAGGCTTAAAGAGTATTTTTCATGGAATATCTGAAAGCTACAATAGTACTCAGAAACATTAGAAGGATAACTTCATTGCTAGAATAAAAAGCTATCCTGTAAGTACTTTTACATATTATGACAAAGATTGAGTCATGTTAATATCACCAAAGACAGTAAAAATATGTGGCCTCAACCTAATACTCTCTATATAATCTCTTAATTCTCTTTTCAAATGTGGAAAGCTATTAACCACTATTCATGGGATAGCTTTTAAGAGAACAAACCAGAAAATTTCCATTAAAATAAGAGACATAAAGATTTCTCAATCAGGGCTGGGAAGGTGGCTCAGTGGTAGAGTGCTTGCCTTGCGTGCATGAGGCCCTGGGTTCGATTCCTCAGCACCACATAAGCAAAAAGAAAAAAAGCGGGAAGTGGCATTGTGGCTCAAGTGGTAGAGTGCTAGCCTTGAGCTGAAGATCTGAGGAACAGTGCCCAGGCCCAGAGTTCAGGGCCCACGACTGGACCCAAAAAAAAAAAAAAAAAAGGTTTCTCAATCAGCAGATATAGAGGCTACCTCCTATAAACCTAGCTACTCAGGAGGCAGAGATCTGGAGACTTCAAATTTGAAGCCAGTTCAGCCAAAGAGTTGGCGAGCCCTCATCTCAACCAATAATTTGGGTGCAGTATCACATGCCTGTGTTCCCAGTTACACAGTAAGCCATAAGTAAAAGGGTCATGGTCTGAAGCCAGCTCCAGTAAAACTAATTGAGGGAAAATTGGGGGTGGGGGATGGCGCTAGGAATGTGGCTCATGTGGTAGAGTGTTTGCCTAGCAAGCATAAGACCCTAAGTTCAAACCTCAGTACTGTCAAAAAAAAGTTGCTCAAACTCATTAATACCTTTAACTGAATAATTTCATATGGGTTTTACTAAAACACTTAAAAATAATGCCAACATTAGTAGTAAAGAAATACCCCAAAAAGCATATAGTATGGAGATATAAAACGTAGCCTTTGATAATAAACATTCTACACAGTTTATCTTAAGGAAATTTTTCAAAATAGTAAACTACATGCTTGTAGTATAAAGAGCATACTTATTAATAACGATAACATTGAAAACTTCTAGATGGCAAAAAATAGTGTAATTATGATGCCATAATCATAAACTGATATATTGTTAATCATTAAAGTGTTCACTATGAAGAGACATGGATGGAGACGGAGGCCGACTCAGTATTTGAGGGTAAAGCCACACTGATGGCTACAGAACCCAAAGTTCCCATGTTGGCAAGGAAGAAGGGGAGATTTATTTCCAAAAAAGACATGTTGATAGGTTAAATGAGTAATATCATGGGTAAACAGTTGTGTTTGTGTGCTTGTGGCTACTGCTTTATCTGCATAGTAAATAAAAGTGTTGTTGTTTATGTTTCAAGAAAAAGACACACAAATGAGTTGGTTTTTTTCCCTCCTCCTCTACAACGGTGATGAAAATGTTGGTTTAAAAAAATTAAGGGGCTGGGAAGGTGGCTCAGTGGTAGAGTGCTTGCCTTGCATGCATGAGGCCCTGGGTTCCATTCCTCAGCACCACATAAGCAGAAAAAGCCAGAAGTGGTGCTGTGGCTCAAGTGGTAGAGCATGAATCTTGAGCTGGAGAGCTGAGGGACAGCGCCCAGGCCCAGAGTTCAGGCTCCATGACCAACCAAAAAGAAAAAAAAAATGTGATGATTGCTGCGTGCTAGTGGCTCACACAATCCCAGCTACTCAGGAGGCTGAGATCTGAGGATACCAGTTCAAAGCTATCCCAGACACCCCTCCTTCCCCCAAAAAAATTGCGTGAGACTTTTTTTCTCAAAGCAAAATTTAGAAAAATAAATCCAGGAGTAGACTGTGGTTCAAGTGGTGGAATGCTAACTTTGAGCAAAAATGTTCAGGGACAGTACCCAGGTTCTGAGTTCAAGACCCAGGACCAGAACAACAACAAAATTAAAACGGTTTTTAAGAACTCTAACCATGGACTTTTCAGAACCTCAGGAATTAACCAAATGCTAGTTAGAGCTAGTCCGAAAGCATAGAGCATTATAGTGCTTTAATTTGCAAAGTTCCATTGTTGATTCTTTTTTCTTTTTGTCAGTTGTGGGGGCCTGAACTCTGGGCCTGGGCGCTGTCCCTCAGCTCTTCAGCTCAAGGCTAGCGCTCACCACTTGAGCCACAGCTCCACTACTGGCTTTTTCTGCTTATGTGGTGCTGAGGAATCGAACCCAGGGCCTCATGCATGCAAGGCAAGCACTCTACCACTGAGCCACCTTCCCAGCTCCCCATTGTTGATTCTTAAAGTGAAGTTGCCTTGAAAGCCCACAGCCTCAGACCCACAGCATGGTGGAAGGGCAAGGGTGGTTCTTGGAGAACTATAGCTATATGACCTGTTGGCATTTCTCTGGACACATCTCTGGCAGGGCTTGTCTTTATTTAATCTGACTCAGAGATTACTCATTACGAGTCCTCAGCTGGGGCAAAACTTGTTGGGGAAAAATTCACTAGAGGAAGTGCATAGAGAATACAATCATAATATCTAATGCATAACCTATGAAATTAAGCAAATTGAGGGGAGAGGTTGGGCAGGGAGGGATGGGGGAGAATAATGAGAGGGGTGACATCGATCAAGATGCACTGGACTTCCTATAAATTGGTTTGTTGAATGGTAATTCCCTTGTACAATGACTTAAAGATAATAAAAATATTTTTTAATGTCACTAACAATTTGCTTGATGTTATAGCTATCTGAGGTAAGGATAACACCAAAAAATTAAAGGCAAAGCTAGGCATTCAGATGCCCACAGGGGGCTTTGGGAACCCCTGATATATTACAAGGGATCTAGAAGGGCCCGTTCAGGAGCAAGGCTGTGAATGTGTGAGGAAAAGCCTGAGGCCCTAATCCCTCACCTCTGGCTGACTATGAGTAAATGAGGGCTAAGGTAAAACTGTAAACCCCCCTTTATTGAAAGTGTGCCCAGCATGCACGTGGTGCCCCTTGGTAAAGGTTTGGAGATTTATTGGCTCAAGGCTTACCTAAGTTCATCTCTGTGCAGTCATTAACTGAACACTTTGCTAACTAAACAGAGACTGGAGTGGTCTCAGAGAACAAAGAGTACTGACTTTGCAGAATTCATTGATGAAGTCACTAAATATACCATAACAACATCCAGCTCTGAGAAAAGGAAGAGATATGATTAGAAATCCCACAACATAGTAATTATTGTAAGATTTGCCCTGGGCCTTGCCAGCCCTGTGCAGACACCTCCCTACCTCTTGGCTACGTTTCCACTGGGTATCTGTGTTACCTAGGTAACTGGCACACCTGGAAGCAGTCACCTCTCCCTTCTGCTAGGTCACATCCTGAGATGCCCTGTCACATCCTGAGATCCAGTGTGGCCACACCTTTCCCTCACCTGACCACACTTCTTCCTGTCCCTGGCCTAGATAAGTCCTGGCCCAGGGGTGGATGGCCCTTTTTTGGCTGTGCCTCTCTGTGGCGGGGGCGGTAAATAAACTTCTTTTCCTGCCTGAATACGGGCACCTAATGAAACCTACCTACCTATTTAATATACCTTACAATTACAACATCCAATTTCAAAAATGATGGGGACATAAAAGTAAGAAAGAACTCTCAGCCTCTAGGAAGATCACCTGTAGCTATTGTCCCTGAGGAATCCCAGATGTTGGATTCCCTAAAGATCTTAAGTCATTTGTCAGATTCAAGTAAAGGAAACCATGGGCTGTAAAAAAACCAAATAGAGACTACCAATAGAGAATATCAATAAAAAAAACATAGTTTTGTTGTTGTTGTTGTTGTTGTTGTTGTAGGCCATAGGGGTTGAACTCTGGGCCTGGGCTCTGTCTCTCAGCTCTTCAGCTCAAGATGAGTACTCTACCACTTGAGCCATAGTACTACTTCTGGTTTTCTGGTGGTTAATTGGAGATAAGAATCTCATGGACATTCCTGCCAGGGCTGGCTTTGAAACTTGATCCTCAGATCTCAGCCTCCTGAGTAGCTAGGATTACAGGCGTAAGACACCAGTGCCCAGCTATAGATTTTTTTTTTGAGGTATTAATTCTGGAGTAAAAAAGTGCATTAACTGAAGTGAACAGGAATTATTTGATGGGACTTGCAAGATTTGAGGCGGTGGAAGACTATCAATATTTGCCAGCTAGAACAGAGAACAAAAATGAATAGAGTTTCCAGAGACCCGTAGAACACCAAAGAATGTGTAAGAGTCACAGAAGGAAAAGCAAAGAGGGAAGAAAACAGAATGACTAAAAACATCCCAAATATGAAGAAAACAGTTATCTAGACACCCAAAAAGATTAATGAATTCCAAAACAAGTTAAACTCAAAGCCTTCACAGACCATAATCAAACATTAATTTGTAGCTCAACTGGTAGAACACCAGCCTACCAAGCATGAGGCTCTAAATTCAAGCCCCAGTACCACTACGAGGGAAAAAAAGAACAAAGCAGAAATGAAATAGCCCAAAGAACAATTTTCTACCTGTCTGCTATCCTCACCCATACTGGGATGAACCTATCAACAGTTTATAGCCCTGGAGGTCCATAAGGTAGCTGGAGATTGCATCGATGTACAGTGGAATGGAAGTCAGATGTACTTACAGCTGTCACATTCAAGCACTTGAATATAACTGAAGAAGCCTTCCTAGTCTATCTTATGTCGAAATGGTCACTGTCTCTTAAGCATCTTCATCTACCTGCTTTACCCACAATCCTTTGCTTTTCTCTCTAGTATATACATGCACAGATATTATTAATCAAGCAAATCAGAGACCTAAGAGTTATCCTAAGCACCTGTCCCTTGCCTTCTGTACTCACTCAGAAGCCAGCCAAATCCACATTTATGACTTCCTGCATATTGCTCCTGTCTATCTTCTCCTTTTTCCCTATTTTAGTTCATTTGAGATGCTGTAACAAATGTCCTACACAATTTACAAACAATACATATTTATTGCTGAAGATCAAGGCCAATTTGCGCTACAGACTAGATGGATCTGTTCCTCATAGATGACAGTTGTTGACATGTCCTCGCATGGCAGCAGGAACAAACAGGTCCATCAGTCCTTCTTCACAAGGGTTCTATATTCTAGTCTTGAGGACTCTGCCCTCATGACCTAATAACCTCCTATGGTCCTAACTCTTAATACCAATGCTATAACTTGGGAGTTAGATTTTAACATGAATTTAAGGAAACATCAAAATGAAGACCATAGCACCCCCTTTGCATTTCCCTAACCATGATCTCGTCACTTCTCACTGGACAGTGGCAAGTAAGCAGTTTACTTCTTGTCTCACCCAACCCAACCCCTATTCACCGCAATCACAGAGAAAGCTTGCACAAGCACACAGCTTATCAGGCTACTCCACTAATGGCAGGAAGCAGCCTGCCCACGAAGACCCAGTCCAACCCATACTGACCTCAGCAAGTCTGCAGACCTCTGATGTGTACTTTCTCCAACCTGGACCCTGGATCACCCACTGTCTGTCACTTTCATACCGAATGCTTCCTGCATGCCTTGTCTCCTGCTGTCTTTACTGCCTGTTTCCTGTTCATGGACATCTACCCACTTTCCAACACTCAGCTCTGGGGTTGACGGAATGCTGGCTGATGAAACCCACTGCCATCTTCATTTAATATCGGCACTCTTCGATTTTGTGTTTAATCACAGGCCCAAAACAATAAAGAGGTACACATGTGAACTAGCTCAACTTACACATTCCAAAATGCATGTTTTTTTAAAAAACATGTATATGTATATTTTTCATAGAAATAGAGATTGAACACAGGGTATTGAGCATGCTAGGTAAGCCCTTCAGACCTTTGCTTTTACTTTTGTTTTTAAGAAAAGTTCTCATCACCATGAGAATATCTTTCAAATATCCTGTCTCCTATGGTGTATACCATCACATCTGGCCAAATACGTACAATTTCTATTTGTCAAGTTAAAAATAAATAAGGAAAATCAGTCACCTTTCTTCACCTGTCCTTTGACAACCAGACCACCCTCATATGTTTGTTCGCTTGAGTTTTCTCCCTGCAACTGTGAGCCCCCTGAGACTCAGATAGTATTGGCATTACCAGTACCCTACCCAGTGCCACATACAGAGTAGGTGTTTCATTCCTGGTTAATAAAAGGGAGTGAATGTGTACTTAGCATGTGAAGTTCTTTAGTGTATAAAGCATAATTCATAAATGGAAGGAATAAGAATTGTCAAAGAGACTTTACAGCCAAGTGCTCCCTGTCAGGGCAGAGGAAGGAAGTGAGGAGTGTATCTTCTGTGGGTCCCTGCCAGAAACTTAGAAGGAGTTTCTTGCATTCTCTCTGGCCCTTCTAGTTTATAGCCAGAGAGGTCTTTTCTGAATGGAAACTTGAGTTGAGTCCATTTCTTTGGGGAGAAAATCTCAGAGCTTCAATAGGCAGGGCCTTCCTGTCTGCCTTCTTCTTGACCCTCTTCTCCCCAGCCATGTAGCTTGCTAACAGTCCTTAGTTCATGCTCTGCCCTCTCCTTAGCACAAGGCTGTTGACTCTGCTGGGTCTTTGCTGAATTCGCCTTCCTTCCTTCCTTCTCAAATTGATTCCTGTGCCTTAGAAGATCTTTCAGCAACCCCTCTGTGTTTGTCCCATGAATGGAGTGATAATGGGGTATCAGGTGGTGGGAGCCATTATCAGTCCCAGAGGGTCCTCAAAGCTCCTCCAACCACTCTAAAGCCAAGGAGTTTCCTGAGGGAATGTCTAGCAAATGCAGTAATTTTTCTCCTTCTCCAGTTACATTTCTGTAATTATTTCAGTGCCCTTGGTAGCTTAAGTCCCTCACTCTACCTGGAACACACCCTTCCATGGGATGCTTTTCACGGCAGTCTAAATGAAATGACCACCTCCCAGTGTTGAGGTTTGGATAGGAGGTGTATTCACAAAAGACTCATTGTTGAAGGTTTGGTACCCTGGCAGTGCTACTGACAGGTGATCAGATCATGAGAATGCTGACTTTATCAATGGATCAGCCATTGGTGAGCTCATAACAAAATGGGCTATAGGAGGTGGGCTTAGTTCAGTAAGTAAGCACTGGGGGTGGGGCTTTCAGAGATGTATCTTGTCCCCAGATCCTTTTAGTCTCTTTGCTTTTTGGCCACCAGGAGCTGATCAATTTTCTTCCCCTACAACCTTCTAACTTAATTGTTCTGCTTTACCACCAGCCCAGTAACTGTGTGCTGAAACTTCTGAAAACCGTGAACTAAAGTCAGTCTTTCCTTCTTTTAAGTTTTTTTTTTTTTCAGGTATTTTTTCACAGTGACAGAAACACTAGCATCACCAGCATGCCTTGACCAACACATAGAGACAAAGGCTCTCCCTGAGCACAGAGGAGGTAGTCAGGAAAAGGCAGGCCATCTACAGAGAGAAGACCCATCTTTAAATGTCTGAAGTGGTGACAGTCAGAGGACCAGAGCCTCTCTAGGGATCAGCTCCCTTTTTACCACTGGGTAGGGGCAGAGCCCATAGATACCAGCCTCCCTGAGAGAGGGATGGAGGCACTGGCCTCAGATATGATTGAGGAGGACTGAATGAGGATGTCATGTCCAACTAATATACTACCATGGCCACCCATCTCTGTTTGACTTCATTTCTGAAATCATTCTAGAGAATGAGATGAGCCATTATTTCCATTTTATTTCCTGCTGTGCAGTAGAGAAAGGAGTAAAGTCCATTGGGAGAGCAGGAGAAATCAAGCCACCAGCAATCAAGAGTAACCTTTACCTGGAATATGTATATGATTTGATTTGATTCTTGGCCTTCAAATATAGAAAATTTCATGGGCTTCAGGGGTCCGCTAAACTTCCCATCTTGGCCATTTCCAGTTGTCTGTTAACAAAGAAAGAGAGGATTAGCATTGGTCATAATTGCGTGTGCCACTTGCTGATTTTATTAAGGGTTCCTAAATATAAAACCCCTAAATACAACTTCTTTTAGTCAGTTTGTTTGTGTGTAAATGCATTGATCCCTGGATATGTTATCATGAATAGTTGTATTTTGAATCTAGCTTCCACATATGAGATTAAATCATGCGTGGTTTGTTGCTGACCTGGCTTACCTCACTTAATAGTTTCATCCATTTCCCTACAAAATATATAAGATTCTTTCTAATGGATGAATAAAATTCCTTTGTGTGAAGCTATGTATATATGACCATATAAGATGATGCTAACCGAAATGAACCCCAAAAGAGGGACATGGGAGGTTTTATCTTTCTTGCTGCTGTTTTTAATGTACTTATACTCTGTGATCGTTTTTCTTTTGTATGTTCTTTCCCCATGGCATAACCCCTGTTTTCACTGTATTTGATTCTGGTGCCCTGCATCTTGTATATACATTTTTCTAATTTGGGGAGGGGAAGGGAAATAACAAAATGCTGAAATGAGGATACAGGTTGGCCCATTGTAGCAATGAGATGTACAAGACACTATGTTGAAAATGAACTTTACAACTTCAGGGAGGGGGAGGGAGGAGGTGGGAAGGTGAGGAGGAAAGGGATGTTAGGGGAAAAACAAAGGAGGGGGTAACAATGCTTGATAGGAAATGTACTCATTACCTGGCTCATGTAACAGTAACCTCTCTGTATAGTATCTTTACGATAAAAAAATATATATTAAAATTTTTTCTTTACGTATATGGACCTCATTTTCTTGATCCACTGTTGTAGTGCATCTGGGCTGTTTCCATCATTTGGCTATTATGAATAGTGCAGCAACGAACATGGATGTACAAGTGTCTTTACCATATCCTGACTTGTGAGGCTCTGAGATGCCTAAGAGTGGTATGGCTGGGTCGTAGGGAAGATCTATGTTTTGTTTAGTTGGTTTTGTTTTTGTTTTTTTTGGTCTGTCCTGGGGCTTGAACTCTGGGCTTGGGCACTGTCCCTGTGCTCTTCAGCTCAAGGCCAGCACTCTACCACTTGAACCATAGCGCCACTTCCGATTTTCTAGTGGTTTATTAGAGATAAGAGTCTCACAGACTTTTTCTGCCCCAGCTGGCTTTGAACTGCGATCCTCAGACCTCAGCCTCCTGAGTAGCTAGGATTACAGGTGTCAGCCACTGGCGCCCGGCTTGTTTTTTTGTTTGTTTGTTTGTTTTGTTTTGTTTTGTTTTTGAGAAATCTCCCAGCCACTTTCTAGAGTGGTTGTATTTACCAGCTTACATTCCCACCAACAGTGTAATAGGGTTCCTTCTCCCCCCACATCCCCACCAACATTCATTATTGTTCCAATTCTCGATGCTGGCCAATATTACTAGGATAGGACGGAATTTAAATGCTGGTTTGACTTGACTAATATTCTTAATTCACATAGTGAACTTTCTGGACTTCTGTCCATCTCCTCCTTTCTGTCTTCTTGAAGAACTCTTCCTGCCTTCTATTTCTTTCCTACATCTCATCCAATTACATTGTCGCTCCCTGGGAATGTGGCAGATGTCCAGGCTGCAGCATATTTGGTCCAGGATGGGGATAGTCTTTTCTGTGAGCTACTGCTCAACAGAAAACTACCTCCCTCGGCTCTGGGTCCACCCAGCATGTGGCCACACTGATGAAAACTACCAAAGCCAACAGGCCTCCTGGACAAAGCTCTGCCTTTCTTATAAGGACAAGCTGACTCACCTGCAGGAAAGGAAGGGCATATCTCAGTTCCAGAGTTCAAAGTTGCATCCTGTATCAGGGCAACACATCTTTCCTCCAGCCGGCTAATCTGGCTATTGGGGCTATAAAGATTTCAACATGCAAACACACACAGTGAGTCACCAGGCCACACCATCAGAGCCTGGAGGAATAATGTGGGAGAAACTGGCAAAAAGACTCATCACATCCAGGAGGAGAAATCCATGTCTCCTTCTCAGACAAGAGAGGAGTGAGCCACCAACCACAGAGTATTAGATAAGAATCTTCTCACTCTCTCAAATCCCATCATTGCTTCCTAATATAACTCTGCAATTGTGTATTCTGTTTCTAGCCTATTCTTGGAACTTACTAGGTGCTAAAGGTATAAAGGTGAATAAGAAGCTGTTCTTCCTTCATGGAGGTTAAGGTTCAGATGGATATGGATAATGAATATTTAAAGTGCTATTATACTGATAGGTATTTTTAAATTAAAAAATTATTTTCACAGTACTGGGATTTCAATTTATGGACTTTCATTTGCTCAGCTGGTACTCTACTACACTTCCAGCTCAGCTTTTTGCTAGTTATTGTGGAACTAGAGTCTCACCAGCTTTTCTGATGAGGCTCTTTGCATTGTAATCCTCTGGATCTCAGACTAGAATTATAAATGTGAGCCACCAGCACCTGACTAAAACCTGTGTGTGTGTGTGTGTGTGTGTGTGTGTGTGTGTGCGTGTGTGTGTGTGTCTGTCTGTCTGTCTGTCTGTCTGTCTGTGTCTGTGTGTCTATGTGACGCACACGTGCCAGTCTTAAGACTCGAACTCAAGGCCTGGGTATTATCCCTGCGCTTTTTTGTTCAAGTAGTGCTCCACCATTTGAGCCACACTTCCAGCTTTTTGTGGTTAATTGGAGTTCGACTTTTCTGCCAGGCTGGCTTCAAATACTGATCCTTAGATCTTGGCTTCCTGAGTAGCTAGGATTACAGGTGTGAGCCACTGGCACCAGGTCAAAAAAAAAAATTCTTATTCAGTGTTTAGGCTGTGCTAGTCATGGATCTGAGAGAGAGAAAGTGCACTGTCTCACTTAATTGCAACATCTCAGAACTCAAGCACTGAATTAGATCCATTTCAAAGGGAAGAAAACTGGGGTTCAAAGTTTAATATAACTCACTTGGGTTCATATCTTATGTAAATTGGATCTAACTCTACCACCAGCCTATAATAATGTAGGTAGAAAAGAACATTTGAGAGAGTAAGAAGAAGAGAGAGGTCGAATGGATGTTTGACATCATACTTGTACAAAAATGGGGATACATTTTGAGCCCTCAAGCCACAAGAATCCCATTGCTCATAAAATTTGAACTATAGTCCTCCTTTTACCCAGAGAAAGGCACTGATAACTCTGGTTTTATGTCAGTCACTCTGTAAATATTTTTAATTGAATGGGCTCTAGTATGCTTTCTGAAACTTAAAATTTCATGTAGGTTTTTTTTTTGTACACTAGAAGAAATGAAGCAAGATTTGAGGTCCGAGGATATAGAAATTAAGGAAAGGAAATACAGCTCCATAATCTTGCTTCATAATACAACAAAATTTTGACAACCTTTTGTGAACCTCAGGAGCCTCAAGCATAAAACAAAACTAACACCCCTCTGTCTAGCCAAGGTCAAGTGCTGAAACTGTCTAGTTCCCATCAAGCTCCAAACTTTAGGAGCCTATTGAACAACAGGGTTAACTCAACAAATGGCTAAAGATACATTCAGTAATAAAAAATCCAATTGGTAAGAAGAAAAGTACAGGTAGAAAAGATTCTAAAACAGAGAAAATGACCTCTTGATGTGTTTTGATGCATGTCTTCAAAGTTTAAAAACAGTCAAAATTAAGGGATATAGATAAATATATACATCAATATAATTTCTTATGAAGTTCCTAGCCTTGTTCCTATTCTCTTTTTCCTTTCTTTTTCTTTCTTTCTTTTTTCTTTTCTTTTCTTTTTTTTTTTTTTTTTGTCATGAGGCTTGAACTCAGGACCGGGGTGCTATCCCTGAGCTCTTTTTGCTCAAGGCTACTTACTGCTCTATCACTTTGAGCCACAACTTCACTTCCGGTTTTCTGGTGGTTAATTGGAAATTAGAATCTCACAGACTTTCCTATTGAGGCTGGCTTTTAACAAGGCTGTTCAATAATTAGACCTCAGCCTCCTGAGTAGCTAGGATTATAGGCATGACTCAGTAGTACCCAGCTTTGTTCCTATTCTTTTGTATGTAAATAATAGATTTGTCCATAGGGCTGGGGGAAGTCGCTTAGTAATAGAGCATTTGCCTACTATGTACAAAGCCCTTGCTTCTACCACTATCACTGCAAAATCAAGTTATAGATTGTCCATTACACAGTGTCTGCTTTTTTCTCTCTCTTTTATTTATCTCTTTTTTGGGGGGTGGGGAGCAGCCATGGGGCTTGCACTCTTGGCCTAGGTGCTGTCCCTAAGCTTTTCAGCTCAAGGCAAATTGCTCTAATACTTGAGCCACAGCACCACTTCCAGTTTTCTGGTGGTTTGTTGGAGAGAAGAGTCTCACAGACTTTCCCGCCTGGGCTGTCTTTGAACCACGATCCTCAGATCTCAGCTTCCTGAGTAGCTAGGATTACAGGCAAGAGCCACCAGCACTTGGCCAGTGTTGGCTTTTTAAGAAGCCAACAAGCTGAAAGACACCCAGGTGGTTTATAGCCATTTCACTAGAAATATTGATCCGAATACAGTGTCCAGCCTGTACAAAAGTTTAATTTGATAGGCCAACTTAGACAAGTGATGATAGTCATCCTTTCTCTAGTATGGGAAAATATTCCAATGAAGAAGTAGAGAACTTTACCTTTGCTCTTACCAAACACAGCATAAACAGACATAGGGAGTGAAGACGGACTCCAATCATCTTGCTATTCTCTGCTCAAATGCCTGTGAATAGACCAGAGATGGGGTGATCACATGTCAGCCTGTTAAAACAAAGTCTTCCCAACTGGAAAGAACCACTGCCTGACATCCAGTCACAAACCTAGAGAAGTGGATCTCTACAGATGAGCTCACCTCTGCATGGAACAGCCAATCTTCCAGAAGCTTCCTGATCCCCCATCATAGGAACATACAAGTCAACAACTCCAATGAGCTGTCTATAATTTATTCCTTTCATTGCTTCACTCTATTTCGGCCTTCATTGAGAGTCTTACATAACAGGCAATGAGTGTGATTTTTCACTCTTGTTGGGTTTTTTTTTTATTATTTTCAGTTGAGTTTACAGTTTTTACTTTTATAAGCAATTGAGGAAGGTCTGTTTTGGCAAATGCCAGGATAGCTATATAAAATAATGTTAGTGGTTGCAGTTCAAAGCTGCAAATATATGAGAGCTCTCAGAAAAGAACCCAGGAATGTTCATGATCACAAACCTCATCAACTGTCTCTGTCATCTCCCAAATATTGTTAATCTGTGTAACACATGAATCCACTTCCATGGATCAAATAAACATCCAAACTCTGTCCATTTTGTCATCAGCCTGCATAGAAACTGTAGCTCTCACCCTGAGACTTGCCATGCTATACTGATATAAGTATGTGAGATAAATTTCCACATTGCAAAGAGAAATTAAAACTGTATTCATTTCACTAAAATTTCAAACAATGTTGTTACATTGAGGAATGGTAAGTGACCCTTGTTTACTTCCTTTTTTTCTTTAGTTTTTGAAAGTCTTTCCACATTTAACATTTATCAATAATATGATTATATGGAAAAAGGTTATTATAGTATAGTGTATAGTGTGCTAACTACTACAAGGATAGAAACATAGATGCAGACATAGCAATGTAATATATGTGTTATGTTTATATGTATATATAACATGCTATATATACATATGTGTGTATATATATATATATGACATGCCATATAAATTTACATTTTTACTCCAAATTTCCACAGCTACTTTAAGAAAAAGCTAGCATTGAAATCCTTCTGGAACTGTAAGATTTATAAATCCCTTGAAAGTTTGAAAATTATCTTTCACAATGGAATTTAATTTGGTAGGCACATCCAAACATCGTTTTAAAATAAACTCATTAAACACGCAACATTTTTTTCACTGCTGGAGACTGATTATCTGGTTTGGAAGCACAGAGAAACAAGTTATACATAATCCCTGGCTCTAGAAAACTGCAAAATGAGATCCAGTCAGCCTTCCTCACCTACATGGATCAAAAGTGGCTCATGTCTATAATGCTAGCAACTCAGGAGGCTGAGATCTGAGGATCTGAGGATCCTGCCAGCCTGGGCAGGATCTGAGGATCATGGTTCAAAGCCAGCCCGGGCAGGAAAGACCTTGAGATTCTTATCTCCAATAAGCCACCAGAAAAACCGGAAGTGGTGCTGTAGCTCAAGTGGTAGAGCAGTTGCCTTGAGCTGAAGAGCAGAGGGACAGCGCCCAAGCCCAGAGTTCAAGCCCCATGACCAACAAAAATAAATAAATAAATAAATAAAAATCTAGAGGTGCTTTAAAGTACATGAGAGGATGTGTGTCAGCTTCATGCAAATATTATGTGATTTTTACAGAAGGGACTTGAGTATCCATGGACTTTGTTATTCATAGAAATCCTGGAACTAAGCCTCATGCGTACTGGAGATTACCTTTATGTGGCGATGGGGGGGTGGGGAGGGGAGGGTTGTAAATCAGTATCCTTAAAGTCTAACTAGTTGAGTGTCTTTTGACATTACCAAAATACACATAATCAGCTATCAATCAGCTATCACTTTGCTAAATCAAAGTGAAAACACAGAAAATAAAATGACAAATTGGAGTATCCTTCTCCTCAATCTCCTCCACATTTGACATCTTTCACATGTGCTCCCAACTCTTCTCAGTCTTCTCAGTCTTATCTGCCACTCCCTCCCCACACCCAGACCCACTGCACTTTGGCCCAGCTCTCCTGGGTCTGAGTCACGGCACTGGCTGCCCTCCCCACCTGGCACCAGCCTGGCCCAGAGAAAATGGACAATGGTTATTTGTTTAACGAAGTTGCATTGAAACCATCCTTCCTCCTTTCTGCTTCTGCTCCTCTTATCTTATCACCTAGATCCAAATTATCCATCTTTACAACAACAAAAAAATTCACTCAAGCTTCCCACAAATGTTAGACACTGGGCTAAGAACCAGGAGACCAAAAGAAGGAGTTCTGGGCTTGCCATCATGGAGCTAAAACTTAAATCCTACATTATTCATAAACAGCCAGAAGCCTTTTCCTCTCTGAATCCCTCACCCACGGTTTTGTTTTTTTTTTTAATAACTATTAATATAAAAGAAATGAATTTGAGATGTAAAGCCTTATTTTGATGCAAAGCATAGTAATAAATTTTTTATCGCTGATGACAAAGGTTGTTTTACTTTTAAATACATTACCAGATCTTTGTTTGATAATAGTTGAAAAATGGTTGAATATATATTCAACTTGAAATACAAGTTGAATAACAGAAAAGCAAGTAACAATAAAAATGAATGCCTTATTTTAAGATGTTCATGCAGGCCATTGTCTGGGATGTCTTCATGGAAATACACTTAAACTTTATTTTGTCATTTACATTTAGTCTTACCACTCACAGGAGAGTTTCAGGTAGAAAAGAGAAGTAATTGCTTTTCACGCTCAGACATGGGGTGCCACCATTTATTTCAAGGCATAGAGTCAAGCTAGATTAGTTTGGTTCCTGGTTCCTCTACTACTTCCATTTACTCTTCCATGCAGCCAGGACAATGATGGCATCCACCACTAAGAGCTACCGGATCCGATGAGTTAATACTTAGAGCAGTGTTCATCAAATAAAAATTCATTTGACAACGCAAGCTTGCTTAGTCAGAACTATAAGCCTTGCCCTACAGGAAGTCAGCTTCCTGCCACCTACTATTAAGAATTTTCAAGCAAAAGCCTCCACAGTAATTTCCTGAAGGCCAAATGAAGAGGCAAGGCAGAGCCTTTTCTGAATGATTCAGAGAAAACCACATGAATGTTGGGATTATTTCCACAGAGGACTTGGTTCTCTCCAACAGTCTTGCTTTTACCTCCTCTTTTCAAGGGCATGGTGCATTCATGAGTATCAGTACTGGGGTCATAGAGATACTGACAGGAAATTTTTGTTTATACCTGAAATAACCAAATCATTCACATGGGAGGTCCCCTCACAAACACCACTTGGAAAGTGTTTGAATAGAACAGTCAGTGACATTTTATCTGAATTATCTGACAGAATTTGCCCAACCATCTGCTTGGAATTTCTGCTATTTGCCAGGGTCTCCATCAGATGCAAGGGCTAATTCAAGCAGTTCCTATGGCCACTATCTATGGCCAAACATACCCTTAGCAACACAGGTCAGTTTTGTAAAGACCTACCTCCCTTAAAAATGTGCATGGTTCTCACCAAATAGAACTTGCTATCACCCCTTATTTTTTAACCATGGGTGAGGGCCTTGGAGCCATGGTTGCTGGTCTCATGCTATACAGGAGGTTCCTTCATTGAATTTACATCAGCCCAGAAATTATGGAAATCCTTATGTATCCTGAAGTTGTGTCCAGCCAAGACCACAACACAAAGACCACTTACATTTACTGAAAACATACCATGCTGAGACTTCTGTATGAATTCTCAGAACAATCCTATGAAACAGGTACTATTAGCATCTGCACTTTGAAATTTCTCTAAATCAAAAGCTAAAAGTCAAAGAAGTTAAGAGACTTGCCCAAGGTCACACTGCTAGCTAAGTTCCATGCCTAAGACCTTAAGCATCTATTCTAACTCTGAAAGCCTAAGCATCTTGATCATGGAATACTGAACCTCACCTCATCCACTTCATCTTTCCAAACATTGTTTTTGTGTTTAACATCATGACTTTTTCCCATTCCCCACCACAAGCCTCCCACCAACCCAGAAGTAATGGTTGTATCAGCTTAGAAGGTTTTGCTCTTACAACCAATGAATTTCTGTGTCACTACCTCCTTCATTTCCCCTCTGAGCTTCACCTGTGGAGTCTTCTATTTTTTCTTATTAATCAAGCAAAAAAGTCATGAGCTAAATTGTATTTCCCTTCCCAGGGTCACATATAACAGTCCCAACTCCCAAGTCCCTCAGAAGGTGACTTAGAGTCTTTTACAAAGGCAGTGAACGTAAAAGAGTGGGCTCTGATCCAATATGTCTGCTGTCCTCATAAAAAGAGGAAAATTTGGAGACAGACTCAGACACCAGAAGAACACTGTGTGACATGAAGACAGCCATCTGCAAGGCAAGGAGAGAGGAACAGATCCCTGTGTGGCTGGCCCACAAAAGGAGCTGAGCCTACTCACCTTGACCTTGGACTTACAGCTCCAGAACTATGAGATGGTAACTTTCTGTCAGTTAAGCCACTGATTCTCTGGTGTTTCATTATGGCATCTATTGGAAAGTAAGACACCAAACAACCCTGGCTTCAACTTGGTAAGGTGCTGCCATACCAGGACCTGGGCAGATGCAAAGGGGTCTTGTTTCTGCTATTGTACCTAGTGCCCATTACCTCCCACATGGCCACTTGAAGCTTGATTGATTCTCCTGCTGGCTTCCAATGCTTCTAAGAAGGTTTTAGATATGTTTAGATACTTATTATTTCTACATTTACTTGAATAAAGATAGAAATTTCTAGGTGTCAGATTTTTAAACCTACAAATAAATCAACAAATACTCATTCTCCACCCCCACCTCAGGCACCTACAAAAAGTTAAAGGCTAGACAATTTTTAAAGTATGTCATCTCTTATCATATGTTGTTTTGATTTTGTTCAAGAAAGAGGAGAGGAGGAAAAGAGGAGAGGAAAGGAGGGATGGAGAAGGAAAAGGAGAAGAAAGTACAGGAGGAAGTTTAGAATTAAAATTGTTAGTGTGTCCTCCCTCATTTT